ACTGACTTAAAGGCTTATGAAAAGATTAACACGTTGTTCCAAAAAGAAGTGGAAATATATTCCCACCCAGATATTACCTTTTTTAAACATATTTAAAAACACACTTTTTGGAATCTATAAATTTAAAAACGTATTTAGCTACCTACTCTAGAGTAGGATCACAGGACTGATGTGTTTAATGTTTATATCGTTGGCTGTTCTTGTATATAAAATGTTCATTGCTAACCAGTAGTTTTGGATACTGTTTTAAAAGTAATATTTCTACTAAGTAAACCAAGCTGAAAGTTTGTTGTTTATGACTTTCCTTTCATCCAGATATGGAACTTGTTAGTCTATTGGATTTGGAATTAAAATTATAAATGCATAGGATCACTGGAGCCATTTTCAAATCACGAAATAGATTGGTAAGTCAGTGTTGTGCCAGAAGAATATTTTCTTTTTCCTTGCAGTAATGTTCTCACTTGAGAGGAGAAGAGAAGGTATATACAGCTGCTGGTTTTCGTATACAGATATAGGGCACTAGGTCTGTGTAATACTTTGGTCTTTTTTGGCTTATTATGTGTCATTATATAATGCCTGCATCTGTAACTTTCACTCCATGCATCTGAAGAAGTGAGGTTTTTTACTCACGAAAGCTTATGCCCAAATAAATCTGTTAGTCTTTAAAGTGCGACCGGACTCCATGTTGTTTTTGTGGATACAGACTAATACGGCTACCCCCTGATACTTTATACCATGATTGCTTTACAAATCCTCATTCCTTCCATTGTTAAAAAATGTAGAAAAATCAAGAAAAATATTAAGTGAATTATGACAATTTAAGTGCTCACCCAGCTGAATTTCCCTCCTGTAGCCACAACATATCACTGTATCTGATGCAACGGTGTAAAAGTATCTTGAGAAGTGATCACTACATACAAGTTTTTGTGAAAATGCACTTTCACTGGATCACTTTTTTTTTTAAATTACATCTAAGTCACTGCATGGAATGATTATGAAAGCCTATTTGTACCCAGAAATTCTTTCAAACTATCTTTCAATCAATTAAAGGCTGAGAAATAAGAATAAATTTGTTATTTTCATTTATGGTAAGTTTGGCTCTATGATCCATGTTCTCTTGGCAAATTCAATAGAAATTATTTTGCTTTGGGAATCAAAGTCAGGGACCAGAGAATGTTTAGAGCTTAATCTCGTCCTCCTGCTGCTTGCAGCCAATATTCAGTCTGTTATTTTTCAGGTGATATATGAAATATTCTCTGTAGGCCACTGCCATTTTTAGCCAGTTAGACACTTGTCTATAGAAGAGCCATTTTATCTCGTTTAAGGAGTTTTGGAATCCTGTCCTAGTGAAAACTATGGGGACTGGGTCCTCTGGCCCCTCTAGAATTCTCAGGACTTCTTTTTTTTCCCCTCTCTTCAAACATTCCATCCTCTTTCTTGAGGAACTAAGTGTTCTTAGCCATACTGGCAATCACATCCTTGGTCTACTCAACCAGTTTTCTTGCCTCTACACAGCCACATCTACCCAAAATATCAATTTGCAACATCCAATCTAGACTCTAAATTGGTAGAATTTTAAAGGAGAATTTTATCAAGATTGGAATCCAGCGATGCTTGCATTTATTGTTTTTGCCATCCATTTTCAGTAGCAGACCTCCCAAAATTCTCCAATTCAGTTAAAGAAGGCTGAAGTGTCAGGCTAATATGCCTAATTTTGCTTTGAAATAGCCCTGCTTGAGGCTGTAGTATTTGTCTCTTAGATATTTCTCTCTTTAGGTAGGCATAAATCAAGTATTGGGGAAGAGATTCAAATTAAGACTTCCAAAAGCTCTGGAAAAACAAAAGAAATTTGCAAAGAGACCAACAGAAGCATATCTTCTCCGCTGCTATTCACCAAGCTCCACTTGTGAGCTTATTTTTTATTTTAATTTTAAGGTGGAAAATGAGCTTTCCCTAATTTTTTTATATAGTGATTAACTTTCACACCAATGGAATTGATGGCACACACAAAAACTGATACTGCTATCTTGATATTTGTATCTTACCTGCCAATGGGTAATGCATTGCGAATAATCCTCTGGCTACCTCTAGTGTACTCAATGTCCACTGTAATTGGGGCAGAGTAGGTCATATCTCTCAAGCGACACTTAAAAGGAAAGAGATAAATAGTTTAGACTTTTTCTCCCTTACTTCAGAGTGGAGATTCAAGATCTACTCGGAAGATCCCACTTTTGCCGGGCCTCTCACCTACAACCACGAAGGATGAAAGCAAAAGAGAGCTAGATGGAGTCTCTTCAGTGTCTGTCAAACAAAATCCAAGGAACTCCAAAGTCTTTTTTTTTTTTTAAACAAAAGTTTCAAGACTTCAATAGCAGCCATGGTAACTGCTTCTTCAGATGGAAACATTGTGGCCACATGAAGCCATTTAACTTTTAAAGCGATGGCACCTTCCACAAATGCAGGTAGTGCTAATATGTAAAAATTGAAAACTGGATTTCAAGACCATTCCCACTCCCACCGGTGTTCAGATCTGGTGTTTTGGTTCAGGCATGTCTCTACGTACTGTATCTTAACAGCAAACAGCATGCAGCAATTGAAAGCCTTGTAAGGCAGCCAACGTGTAAGATTAAAAAAGGACATTTAGCTGCTAGCTTTTTAATACAATAATGGACAATTACATGGTGCTTCTTTTACGAAAGAGGAGTTATAAAAGGTTGAAATTTTAAAATGTTACTTTCTCTCAATTCCCTAAATCCCCACATGCAAGTTCCTCAGATATCAATAGGAGCATCATGCACAGACCTAGGGCATAAAATAGTCCAAGGCTCTGTCATTCTGAACGTTCTTGATCTCCCCAGTCTTCTCTCCCCAGTCCCCACACCAGTAATCTAATGTCAAACTAGTTTTGCATAAACGTCTGCAATGTTAATGCAAATGAATATTGTATCAACAGAAGACTTCAAAGCTACATACTGTATCTTATTCATGGCCTCAGCCCTTGAGTATGTTACCTTCATTTAGGCACATAATTCTCAGGATTCTGATGTACTCATTGAAGGTTTTGTACAGCTATGAATACAGAATTAACAGTATATGGAGTAAAATGAGGGTTTATGATGGAAGACAGTTTGCCCTATGGGTGGGGACATGTCTATACACAAGATGGGCCCGAAGGGTTACTGCATATTGGATGTCTCTTTTTTCCCCTGCTAAAGACAAACAGTTTCTCCAGTAACAAAAATTAATTTACACCAGCAGTTCTCAAACTTGTTGGTCACATGGTGCCAGCTCTCCTCCTATTTTCCCGCTGCTAAATGGCAGTAAAAACACAACATTAAATAATTCCTTAATATTACTTGTGTGTGTGAGCAGTTGGGATAATGGTCACAGGAACGGTATGTGGTGATGAACGGAGAGGGAGGTGGTGATCCATGAGACAATTCCTTTAAAAAGTAGTCTGGATCACGAAAGAGCTTGAGAACACCTACCTATATTTTATCCCTTTTAGAAAATAAAATGAACACAAATTCCATGAAGAGCAGAGAAGTGGAACAGGAGCCAGACAGGTGCTTAAAATCTAAAGTCCATATGTAGACCCTTAAGTAAATGGTCTGATTTTCAAGAGTGTGGACGACCTACCAGCTCTCAAAGACAGGTACTCGAAGTCTACAAAGGTGCAAAAAAGATTACATTTAAAGAACATTAAGGATGTTCTGTTGTGGTTAAGGCACTGGATGGGAACCCAGAAACACTAGGTTCTGGGTTCTAGTTCGGGCTTTGTCTCAGACATCCAACATGATACAGGGAAAAACTATCATAATGCACAAGGGACTGAATTAATATTACACAGACAACTTTAATTCTGGCACTTCCTAACTTATGAGTGGTTGATTTTGCAAACTTAATGTTCTTTAAAAGCTGTTTTTTCTATGAAATATGAATATATATTCATAGAAAATATTCATTTTGGTTTATCAGGAGGGCCTACTGCTTTAAACCGGAAGAAGATATTTAAAAAAAAATGAACAATTACTTATTCAGGTATTTAGTCATTTCACAACTACTGGGATGATTTTCTTTCAATTACAATCTTAACTAATAATGCCTTCTTTTCCCAAACTAGGAATATACCTGGCCATTATAAGAATCTTTCCTGATAGCAAAAAGATACTGGGCAGGAAAAACTACACACAACATCTACCCACCCACTCTCACCAGTAAACATGAAATGAAATCTACAGTTGGATTCACTATTACCTCATGAGGAGACACAGGTCTTGTTACATTAAAGCTTTCTTCAACATCTGGAACTCCCACATAGATATTGAGGTATCTGTAATACAAACATTGCTATTATCAACCACTAAGATATTTGTGTGGTAGAACTGAAGGAAGCAGAGTCCATTTTTCAACACAATTCATTTTGATAATCTTCCATTCTAATAATAAACAAATAGCAACTGTCTTCCCAGAGTATCCCATAGCGCTTGAGCTATGCTCTATCCGGAATTTTGAAATAAATCTTGGAATTCATATACAAAAATAAAAGCAAAGTTACCGTTGCAAATTAAGAGTTGTATTGGGCCCTCAACTATGAGAATTCACCAAACTACTGAAAAACCATCACTACAATGTCTTTTTACTGCATGGCTATCAATTCTGTTTAATGGGGCCACTCAAAGCTCTATAGTGATCTCTTTTTTGGAGTGTGGTTTACCTCATCCTACTCAAGTATAATCACAGTGTAACCACATGTACATTTTTATAGTCAATTACAAATTGTTATGCAAGATAATACTTATACTGCTACCACCAATACAGAAATCAACCTTATGCTTACTTCAAATACCACATTGGGTCAGCATCACTTGTGACTTTTTCATTGGCTTTCATGATTTTCTTTATCTGCAAAAGAGAAAAAAAAAGAATTGAGTCACGTGACTTTTGTAAATTTAGGCCTATTCCCTTCCCACCAAGGAAGCATACCTCTACATTGATGAAATAGTTGAATGAGTCTATGTGCTGCTTCACAAGTCCTTTCACCTAAAATAAAACAATACATATACAGCAGAATTAGCCTCAGGAAAATTAGTCACAAAAGCAATGCAGAAATTAATATGTAGGAATTAATTTTACTTATAATAGTTTCTGGATCAACTTTAACGTTTTCTAGCTGAGGAGTTTCTGAAAACCCACAGGGTGACCAGCCTGATTCTACACTACATCTCCAGGTTTACGCCAGCATAACTCCACAGATTTCAACAAAGCCTCAACTGAAATGTACTAGATTTATAGCACAAACTGTGCATATAACTGAACCTCATAAGTTTGCATGATTAATGGGGAAAACCATTGTGAATTAACATTTTTTGCCAGTTTGCCATTATGGCAGATGCCTGGGATATTAATCATTTGTCAGATGTGAAGACAGAAGAACTGTGTGGGATTAAAGGAAAAGGTCAAGGAGCAGACTCAGGTTACAACTATAAGGCAGGGGAGAAAGAGGGAGAGGTCCAGCAAGATGTGAGAGACTGAATGAGGAAAAAAAGCCTCAGACAACCTGCCCCAGAGACACTAGAGTTGGGGGAGGAATGTAATAAGTAAGGTTAAGATTCTGTCACGGGTATTTTTAGCAAAAGTCAGGGACAGGTCGCGGGCAATAAACAAAAATTCACAGAAGCCTGCAACCTGTCCCTGACTTTTACTAAAAATCCCCTGGGGCTGAGGGAAAAACAAATAGAGCACTGTCGCTTGCAGCTACTTCAGCCCCCCTGGTGGCGGCTGCTACTCTGACAGCTCCTGCTTCGGCCCACCTCAGGGCTGGCTGTCGCCCGTGGCTTCTGTTCTGGTGGCACCCAGGCTGACTGCCGGCAGCTGCTCCAGTCCCACTGCTGCTCCTGCGAGAAAGGGTGACTGCCGCTGCTCCAGCCCCAGGGGTGCTCACCCAACCCCAGCCGCTGCTTCAGGCCTGGGGCTGACAGCTGTTCCAGCCCTGCCCCAGAAGTAGTCACGGAAATCATGGAAAGTCACAGAATCTGAGACTTCTGTGAATCCTATCCTTAGTAATAAGCAAGTACCAGGAGACACAGACATAAAACTAGTAGCTTCTAGGCCTATCCTGCAGGAGAAACTTTAACAACTCCAGACAGAGCCTCCCATCTGCTTGCTGAGCAGGAAGCATAATCCTACCAGCACTTACACCACCCAGTGCTTATTGATGGTTCAGAAGCCGGACCCACCAGACATCAACATGTAGAAATCAATGCTGCAGATGTTCAGAATTAAGTTTAATCAATGCAAGCATTAGAAAGGTTGTACTGTATTATAAAAAGTGGAAGGTAAATATAACACACTACATTTATTCATTTTTTTAAAACATAGCATCTCTAAGGGACACTGAATCTCAGTACTCCACGGAAATAATTAGCCACAAGCTGCAAAGGAAAGGAAGCTTTCATAGGGGAAGGTTTGTCCAGTGGTTAGGACTATCTATCTATCTATATCTAGATACACCGCTACCTCGATATAATGCTACCCGATATAACACGTATTCGGATATAACGCGGTAAAGCAGTGCTCCGGGGGGGCGGGACTGCGCACTCTGGTGGATTAAAGCAAGTTCAATATAACACGGTTTCACCTATAACGCGGTAAGATTTTTTGGCTCCCGAGGACAGCGTTATATCGAGGTAGATGTGTATATATATAAGCAAATGGAAACATACAAATATAACTCACTTTATGAAAATGTGTTAAGGTTCTCTTTAAAATTAATTGAAAGCAATAGCTAACTCAAGAGTTACCCAGCTGGCTCCACACTGATTAAAAGTCTAGAAAACATGATCTATAAAAAAAAAGATTGAAAAATTGCATTTGTTTAGTCAGAGGAAGAGAAGATTGACAGGGAACATGAGAGCAGCCTTCAAAAGTATGTAAAACGTTTTTTATAAAGAAAAGGGTGATCAATTGTTCTCCTTGTCCACCGAGGACAGGGCAAGAAGTAATGGGCTTAAAATTGCAGCAAGAGAGATTTAGCTTGGACATTAGGAAAAACTTCCTAACTGTAAGGGCAGTTAAGCACTGGAATAAATTAACAAGGGAGGTTGTGAAATCTGTCATTGTAGGATTTTAAGAACAGTTTAAACAAAACAACTGTCAGGGATGGTCTAGATCAGGGGTCGGCAACCTTTCAGAAGTGGTGTGCCGAGTCCTCATTTATTCACTCTGATTTAAGGTTTCACGTGCCAGTAATACATTTTAACATTTTTAGAAGGTCTCTTTCTAAACGTCTATAATATATAACTAAACTATTGTTGTATGTAAAGTAAATAAGGTTTTAAAAATGTTTAAGAAGCTTCATTTAAAATTAAATTAAAATGCAGAGCCACCTGGACCAGTGGCCAGGACCCGGGCAGGGTGAGTGCCACTGAAAACCAGCTCGCGTGCCGCCTTCGGCACGCGTGCCATAGGTTGCCTACCCCTGGTCTAGATAATACTTAGTCCTGCCTCAACACAAGGAAATGGACCAGATAACCTCCTGAGGTCCCTTTCAGCCCTTCATTTTTAAGAGCCGGTTTGACAAAGCCCTGGCTGGGATGATTTAGTTGGGAATTGGTCCTGCTTTGAGCAGGGGGTTGGACTAGATGACCTCCTGAGGTCCCTTCCAACCCTGATATTCTATGATTCTATGATTTCTATGAAGTCCCCATGGATTTAAGGAAAGCAATACAACAAAAAATGACTCCCAGACAAAATTATTTTGATATACAATATTTTACAAAAACTCAGCATATGAACAATGAATGAAAATGTAGAACATACAAAATATGTGGTTCTATCATTATTTGTCTAACTTTTAAACTTCTTTCAGAAGACATGAACAGAGATTTATCAAAAATTTGACTCCAACACAAAAATCACAATACACAGCATTTGTATTGTATGGTGTCGGCACAAATACAATGCTATATAACAAAAGGACACAGTGAAGGATGTAGACTTTTGATGTAAAGCATGCAGCAAATTGCATCTCTTCCACCCACGCCTGCAGACCAGGACACTGGGGTACATGGTCCCAACAGCCCTCCCCCAGTAAGAACATTCTTACAGCCTCGGGAATTCTGATGATGTCACTAGTTCAAGCCTCTGCAAGTAGTTTGTGGGGGTGGCTGGTAGAGATGTAAGGAAGGGGTCGTAAATGAGATGGGTATTAGGTATTGGGCAAGCCAGAGGTACCATCACAGCCCTGGGCCAGAATGACATTAAAGCACATAAATGACTGCTGGACTTTGTTCTTCTGCACTGGATACATGCAGGGACCCATTCTGCCCCCATGCAGCAGCAGAGGTAGTGAGAGACTCCTGGTGGTTTAACAGCCCTACATAGGGGGAGGAGCAGGACTGTCATGGAGCAGGAGTTGTGGGGTATATTGAAAAGGGAATTAATAATACTAGATTGCAGAGAGTCTATATAAAAGTGAAGAAAAAAGACAATGCAATAAGAATATAAAAATAGGCAGTGCACCCACGGTCACTTTGGAAGGGACTGCAGTGATGATGCTACAGGAGCAAAGGGGGCTGTGGTTTGATAGAGAATTTATAAAGTGCTAATACTAAATGTTTACATCTAGTTGTGCACATTAGCAGCTTAGACTGCCATCTGCACGGTATTGTTACTGTCACAGTCATCCTCCCTCCTACTTATTATTACTCACAGTTTGTGAGTTAGCTTTGCAGATTTGGGTCCTAAACACATATGAGAGTTGTCCCTGAGTTCAGCAGAGCTACTCACATGCATGAGTGAAGTCATGCATGCATGCATCTTTGCAGGATCAGGATTTTAGATTGCATGCTCTATGGGACAGAGACCATAGCTACCTAGTAAATGTTTTACAGACCCTAGACCAATGAGCTAGATTGGTTCTTTGGGTAACACTGAAATAAAAAACAAACCAAAAATCACTGCCTGTATTTCATAAACCACTGTTTCAAACTGGCTAAAAAAAATGGCTACCTCTAAAGAGAGACTGCCTCAAACTATTCCCTTTGAGATTAATCAAGAAACTTTCATTTATGTAATAGGCTTGCCTCTCATATTATGGGGGCAGGAACTGGATGACTGTAGAGAGAATGCAAACTCCAGATGCAAAGGGGACAGGTGGTCTGGGAAATAACAGAGGAAAAGACATAGAAGAAGGTTAAAAAAAAGAGGAAAGACAGAAAGAAGAAAAAATAATGGACTTGATAAAGAGGGAGAATGTTGTAGGGAATAATAAAATAAAAAAGCATAGAAAAAAGTCTGAAACAAAACAGAGAACTTTTGAGGTTAATCAGAGAAAGGGAAGCTTTCTGATGCTCTGGAGGGTGGACTGAGGAGCATACAGGATTGGAGGAAGGTTTGGCTATACAAGGCATTAATGGATTGTGAGAGGTTGGGCAGCCATGAATTAGAGTTGGGAGAGGAGAAAGAGAGACCATTGGGGAGTCCCTACTTTTACAAGCAAGGAAACTAAATGTGAGAACGCAAGGGTTTTGGTTGTGCTGAAGGACAAGGGCTGAAAATAAAAAGTTTAGAGAATCTGCAAGAATGTGCAATGCTGACATAGGATTTTAAAATGAATGCATTAGGTTTTAAGATTAAAACACAGTTGACCATCTTTTATCTTGTCAAAACACTGTCTGTAGCAAATCAGTCTTAAACTGAAAACAATTTAACTAGTGCAAGAGCTTGAACATTCATGTACAAGTGAAACATACAAAGCAACACTGACCTTTAGAAAAGCTGGAAGAAGCCTCCATTTTTCCTAAAAACAAAAAAAAAAAAACACAATTTGAAATAGCTGCAGGAGTGTACCTAACAAAAATCTAAAAAACCTAATCACTATTCTTCTACCTAGGGTGGCCAGGTGTCCAGTTTTCGACCAGAAAGTCTGGTTGAAAAGGGGACCTGATGGCATCCAGTCATATCTACTGACCAGACACTCAAAGTCCAGTTACTGCAGGCAGGGAGGCGGGAAGGCGCCAAGTCATCACCCACGCCAGCCCCTACTCAGCCAGGGCCGCCTCCTACCTGCGTCTGGCATCTGCAGCTCTCAGCCCCAACTCTGCAGGTGAGTCCCTCCTGAACCACATGGGGGGGGGGGAGGGGGGGAAAGGGGAAATGCAGCAGGAGGGGGGGGGAGGGGGAAGGAGGAGCAAATGGGGGGTGGGGCCTCGGGGGAGAGGGGTGGGGGGGGGGGGGCCTCAGGGGAGGTTCTGCATTCCTGCTGGAGTGTCCAGTTTTTATATATTACAAAGTTGGCAATCCTACTTCTACCATTAAGACTATTTAAAGTCAAGTCAATGTAGAGAAGAGGGACTGTAACTAGTCAATCAAAATTAGTAATATGAACAAGCAAATAATTTAAATAATCCAGTAATCTATGTGTGCAATACAAACTATATTCAAGGCACAGACAAAGGGATACAGTTAAATTAGTCAATTTAAAAACAAGTTAACAAAATACAAGTTTCTGAGAAAACACCACTTAAATACTATGTCCTGATTTATTTTAAAAAAGAAAAAAAGCCACTCTTTAAAAAGTTTAAGTGTTTTGTTTTCAACGAGAGAGAAAACTATGGTCCTAATTCTACAAACGCTGATGCACGCAGCCAAACAAAGCACTGTCAAAACTGAAAAAATACTTATTCCTGCTAACTTCTTTCAGCTGTACAGTAATCTCAAGTATTACTGTAGTTAAAAAGTAGGTTCAAAACATTCAGACAAACGTGACTTGCAGGTTAACAGTATGTCTAACTTTATAGGTATCTAAAGAGTCAAAGACAGCTAAGATTCTGAACATTAAATAATATATTCAACCAGCCTGTGCAATTCTAAAATGAACAAAAGTAAGTCAAAAAATTGTTATTGATATATCCTATATTGGGGCTGGTCCACACTACCCGCCTGATTCGGCGGGTAGAGATCGATCTTCTGGGATCGATTTATCGCATCTCATCTGGACGCGATAGATCGATCCCAGAAGCGCTCCCCCGTCGACTGCGGAACTCCTGCTTGCCGAGAGGAGGAAGCGCTGTCGACGGGGGAGCTTGCCTGCGCCGCGTGGACCCGAAGTAAGTAAATTTAGTTCGATCTAGGAAACGTCTACTTCAGCTACGCTATTCTCGTAGCTGAAGTTGCGTTTCCTAGATCGATCCCCCGCCCCAGTGTGGACCTGCCCTTGGAGTCCCAGCTATTGTTTGTATCACTTGCTTTCAAAGACATGAAATTCAGTTGACTTTTATTCAGTCTTAGTCTAACTTTGTTTTTCATATTTCACAGCTTAATGTTTACATTTCAAATCTAGGGAGGAAGAACTGAATGCAAATCAAGTTAAATTTTTCCACCACTGTTTAAAAATAAATCTTGCTGTCTCACAACAAACTATTTTGGTATGTAGTAGTATGCATAAACATAAGCATGGAGGAAGGTGGGTTAAATAAAGGGTTATAACTTTGCACAGTTTGCCCTGTAGGATAAACTTATGTGCATCACAAGTAAAATTGGCCCAAAATTAGTTTCAGGGCAGCTGCACAGATACAGGACCAACTAAGGCCTGGTCTACACTAGGCGTTTATGTCGACTTTAGCGCCGTTACATCGACTTAACCCTGCACCCGTCCACACCACGAGGCCATTTAGTTCGACATGGAGCTCTCTTTAAATCGATTTCTGTAATCCTCCCCAACGAGAGGAGTAGCGCTAAATTCGACATGGCCATGTCGAATTAGGCTAGGTGTGGATGGAAATCGATGCTAATAGCTCCGGGAACTATCCCACAGTGCAACACTCTGTTGACGCTCTGGACAGCAGTCCGAGCTCGGATGCTCTGACCAGCCACACCCCGGGAAAATTTGAATTCCTTTTCCTGTCTGGGCAGTTTGAATCTCAGTTCCTGTTTGGACATCATGGCGAGCTCAGCAGCAGTGGCAACGATGCAGAGCTCTCCAGCAGAGGTGACCGTGCAATCCCAGAATAGAAAGAGGGCCCCAGCATGGACTGATCGGGAAGTCTTGGATCTCATCGCTGTGTGGGGCGATGAGTCCGTGCTTTCAGAGCTGCGCTTCAAAAGAAGGAATGCTAAGATCTACGAGAAGATCTCTAAAGCCATGGCAGAGAGAGGCTACAGCCGGGATGCAACGCAGTGCCGCGTGAAAATCAAGGAGCTGAGACAAAGCTACCAAAAAACCAAAGAGGCAAACGGACGCTCCGGATCCCAGCCCCACACATCCCGTTTCTACGAGGCACTGCATTCTATCCTAGGTGCGGCCGCCACCACTACCCCACCACTGACCGTGGACTATCAGGATGGGATATTGTCCGCGGCCGGTTCCTCCGACATGTTAGCTGACGGGGAAGATGAGGAAGGAGATGAAGAGGACGATGCAGTCGACAGCGCTTACCACGCTCCACTGTGTCTGCTGGGCTGCCTGGGCTCGGGAGCAGCCCATTAGTTCTGAGAACATGTCTTCACGCGTCTTCTTCTTCCTCCGCCTAATCTGCGCTAGCCTGATTGCTGGCAGCAGAGACTGGCATTGCTTTCAATGTGAAAGGAGGCCAGTGCTACTAATAGAGTTTTAAGCAGCCACAAGTCTACGGCTTACCATGATTGCCCGCTACAGAAGTTCAGGTCTGCAGCCACGCTTCTCAGATCACTCCAAGACCACCGCAAGTCCACAGGCACTGAAGGCGAGGGCCGAAAATTCGACCTTGTCCTGAGTGCGCATGTGAGAGGTGCAGTGCATGGTCTTGTTCACAGAGAAAGACTAGGTTCTTTGTGTACAATTTCATTTATCTGTCCCAGGAATTCACTCCCTTTTTACAATTCACACAGACACATCTGCGACTGTCTCCCAACCCAGCCTGTCAGCACATTCCCAGAGGCTAGCGCAGATTAGGCGGAGGAAGAAGAAGACGCGTGAAGACATGTTCTCAGAACTAATGGGCTGCTCCCGAGCCCAGGCAGCCCAGCAGACACAGTGGAGGGAGAACTTGTCACAAATGCACCGAGCAGTCATGGAACGGGAGGAGAGGTGGCGTCAGGAGGACCAACAGGCTACTGAAAAGCTGCTTGGACTAATGAGTGAGCAAACGGACACGCTCCGGCGCCTTGTGGATGTTCTGCAAGACCGGAGGCAGGAGGACAGAGCCCCGCTGCAGTCTATCTCTAACCGCCCTCCCCCGCCACCAAGTCCCACACCACCCTCACCCAAAGTCCAAAGAAGGAGGGGCGGCAAGGGCCGGTAAAACTTTCAGTCAACCCCGGCAGACTGCTCTAGCACTAGAAGGCTCTCATTCCCCAAAATTTGAAAAGTCCTTTCCTACCCACCCCACACAAGCCCCCGTCCAAGTTTCACCCCCCACGTTTCATGTGTGGTTCATAATAAAATATTTGTTCCTGTTCATTACTGTTTCCATCCTGTTCTTTTGGAGGAGAGTCTGTCTGAAGGGGGGTAAGGGGCTTGGTAATTGGACAGGACAGTCACCTTTAGCAGGGTACAGAGGCGGGGTCAGGTCCAGCATCAGGACACATACACAGTGCAGTCACTGGTTACCCTGGTCAGTCTTGGAGGTGGTTTTCATGTTCTGGGGGGGGGGAGGTTGCTCTGTGACTTTGTGGCGGGGGAGGGCAGTTACAGATCTTATGCAGCGGTCCTTATCCTGGCTCACAGATCCACGCAGCAGGGGATCTGTAACCCTACCCCCCCTGCCAGAAAGTCACATAGCCGACACATACACGCAGTCCCCCCCCAGGAGTGCTAGCAGGCTCCATTGAAATAACCAGTGCACCAGTGCGGAGCCTGTCATTCCGGGAGTTTAGAAGCATCATTTGCATCAGAACACTAAACCCGCCCCCCGCCAGTCTGCGTCCCCGGTTTAAAACATTCCCGCGAAAACAGCAATACAGACAACGGTGTTCATTAACAAAATAGAACTGATTTTATTTTTTGGGAAGGGGAAGGGGGTGAAGGGGGTATGTAACTGGAGAGGATAGTCAAAATGAACGGGGCAGGTTCAGCTTTTCTGTACACAAACTGAAAAGTCACAGGTTGCCCTGCTCACTCAGGAACCTAGCTTTCAAAGCCTCCCGGATGCACAGCGCGTCCCGCTGGGATCTTCTAATCGCCCGGCTGTCTGGCTGGGCGTAATCAGCAGCCAGGCTATTTGCCTCAACCTCCCACCCCGCCATAAAGGTCTCCCCCTTGCTCTCACAGAGATTGTGGAGCACACAGCAAGCTGCTATAACAATGGGGATATTGGTTTCGCTGAGATCACAGCGAGTCAGTAAGCTTCTCCATCTCCCTTTGAGACGGCCAAAAGCACACTCCACTACCATTCTGCACTTGCTCAGACGGTAGTTGAACAGTTCTTTTTCTGTGTCCAGGGCGCCAGTATAGGGCTTCATGAGCCAGGGCATTAGCGGGTAGGCTGGGTCCCCGAGGATCACTGTAGGCATCTCCACATCCCCAACAGTTATCTTGTGGTCCGGGAAGAAAATACCTTCCTGCAGCCGTCTAAACAGACCAGAGTTCCTGAAAACCCGAGCGTCATGAACCTTGCCCGGCCATCCGACGTTGATGTTTGTAAAACGTCCCCGATGGTCCACCAGTGCTTGCAGCACCATTGAAAAGTAGCCCTTTCTGTTGATGTACTGGCTGACCTGGTGGTCCGGTCCCAGGATAGGGATGTGAGTCCCATCGATAGCCCCACCGCAGTTTGGGAATCCCATCGCGGCAAAGCCATCTATGATGACCTGCGCGTTTCCCAGGGTCACTACCTTTGAGAGCAGTACCTTAACGATTGCGTTGGCTACTTGCATGACAACAACCCCCACGGTAGATTTGCCCACACCAAAGTGGTTCGCGACTGACCGGTAGCTGTCCGGCGTTGCAAGCTTCCAGAGGGCTATGGCCACTCGCTTCTGGACAGTGAGGGCTGCTCGCATCCGGGTGTCCTTGCGCTTCAGGGCAGGGGACAGCAACTCACAAAGTTCGAGGAAAGTCCCCTTCCGCATGCGAAAGTTTCGCAGCCACTGGGATTCATCCCAGACCTGCAGCACTATGCGGTCCCACCAGTCCGTGCTTGTTTCCCGGGCCCAGAATCGCCGTTCCACAATATCCACATGACCCATTGCCAACGTGATGTCCTGGGCGCTGGGGCTCGTGGTTTCTGACAGCTCTGTGCTACTCTCCGACTTCAGGCCATCACGGCGGTGTCGTAGCCTCCTCGCCTGATTTCTCTGCATCTGCCTCAGGGAAAGGTGTATGATAAGCTGTGAGGTGTTGAGAACGGCCACAACTGCAGCGATGGTCGCAGCGTGATCCATGATCGCAGTGCTGTGGCGTCCGCGCTGTCAATGACCAGAAAAGTGCGCGAACTGATTTCCTGCCGGCGCTTTCATGGAGGGGGGGAGGGCGTTAGTGACGGACGGATGACGACACATCTTTTTACCCAGAAGGCATTGGCGGCTCGACCCAGAATTCCGATGGGCAGCGGGGACTGCGGGAACGGTGGGATAGCTGCCCACAGTGCACCGCTTCCAATATCGACGCTCGCCCCATTAGTGTGGACTCACAAAGTCGAATTACTCTCCTTGGTGTGGACACACACGTTCGACTTTGCAATATCGATTCCACATATTCGATTTAAGTAAAATCGAACTACCCTCGTAGTGTAGACATACCCTAAGTAAAATCAGGATGGGCCTACATACAGTGCAAGTGGCAGCCTCAACCCTCTTGCGCGTACTATATGTGTGCTTGATTCCATGAAGCACCAGGCACCCACAATTCATTGAGCTCAGTGGAAACTAAGGTGGCTCAACACCTTGCAGGTAGGATGACCACCTTTCCCTAATTGGATGGCACAGTCCCAAAATGTACATTTCAAGTCCTGGTCCCAGGCTGAATGACTCTGGCACAGCTTTTATCCCCGATTCCCTGCAGTGCCATTCTGCATCTGCCGGAGGCTTAGGGACAGCCTCAGCCTCTTCGCAGTCGCGGGCGCTGAGGAGGGCCATAGCCCCCTCTTGCCACGAGGCCCTGCCCCCTGCTCCTCCTCTTCCCGTTGAGGCCAGAAGCCAGAGCTGGGCAATAGTAAGAGCTGCCCACGGAGCCTGGGCACGTCCCATGGGGGCGGGGACACGGGTCAGGTACTATTCTTGGGCACCCTGACCCCCCCATCCAGGGTAGGTAGAGGGTCCGGGGCTCCCTGGGTGGCTCTTAACACAGTCTTCCAACCTGGCCAAGGGACAGGGCCTCGGGGGAAGAGGAATTGCAGGGGCAGGGCCACAGAAGGGGTGGGGTTCTTGCATGTGTCTTCTTTTTGCACTTTGAAAAGGTGGCCACCCCACTTGGAGGATGAGGCCCTAAGGGAGCACATGATGAGTAAACTTTGCAATGGAACACAGTACTGGGCTCTTTGCCTTGTGTGAGTAGCAGCTACTGATGCAGTCACTATCAGCACAGCGTCGGATATGTTTCACAGGTGGTAACACTGCAATGAGTCATTGGTTTAAAGGCTAAATTTCTGACATCCTCCTTCTATCCACTAAACCCTTACCAAAAAAAGGGGGTGGGGAATTAAAATCTAAAAATGTCAAAAACAAAAGCCCCTAACCCATGCAGTGCTTTTACCCTGAAAAAGGAGGAGTGCCAGAGACTCCACAAAGTCCAGGAGGAACATTGCTATCGACTGTATGTGGAAGGGGCTCAAGTACTGTGGTGATGGGCAGCAGTGAAAGGTAGATACAGGGCTGGATAGGCAGATTTCCATAGGGGTAGGTAAGAGCCAGGCTCTTTGTGCGTCACCCTACAGGCGTTATCGAGACTGAAATTACACCGCGTTAGAAAGGCTGCTAACTGTCCCATGTAGACAAGGACGGCGGGTCGCACGTCGTGTTAGGTGGCCTAATCGTGGGCGGCTAACATGACCCTGCACGCGCCTGCCCTTGCCCACGCTGAGCGTGTCACTCCAACACCGAGCAGCGGGGGCGCTCACTGGCCTTGTAACATCCTGGGGCGGCCAAGGTCCCCCGGGGAAAGGCTGGGAGCCCTCCACCAGCTGCTGGGCTCAATGGCAAGGGAGGCTGCACAGCACCTAGCAGCACCAGGCCGGGCACCCTGCTAGCATCTCACTGGCTGCCGTGTCACTGGCACCAGACCCGGGGGCTGCCGGGCAGAGCAGCCAGCCTGGAGCTTGCGGAAAGGGTCAGGCCAGCGTGGAAAGGGTGGATTGATCCCGCGCATGCGCCACAGGTGACTCGGGATCCAGGTGCCTGGAGCCCGGAAAGCCCACGGGAGAGACGAACCTAGGGGTTGCGCGCATGCGCAGTAGGGGATGCTGCTGAAAGACCTGGGGCTGAAGCAGGAGCCTGTGCGCAAGCGCAACAGGGGGCTCGGCGAGACAGCTCGTGGGGGCTCCGCCGCTCGTTGCCATAGCGGAGCGAGCCCCTCCTCTGAGGGCCGGCGGCGCCTTTATCCCTCGCCCGCCCGCTCGCTCACCTCCACCGTGTTCACGGGAGCCGCCGCCTGCTCCGCGGTCAGAGTCCCCAGCTCGGCCGCTAACGCGTCCATGGCGAGCGCGGCGGAGACACGAGCCGGGAGGGACTCGGCAGCCGGCGGACGCTCCGCGCAATGGACCCGCCGTGCGGCGATGAAATCTGCCCCCACCACAACAGAGGCGCCGCGGGCCCGTTCCGCTTCTTTTAAAGAGCCCGCGGGGTGGCGGGGGACTCGCCCGCCCGCCCGCCCGGAGCGAGCTGCTGGTCCTGGCCCAGGAGCTCGGAAGCTGGGGGAGGGAAAATGCCCCCCTGAAACGCTCAGCACAAACCTCGCTCCCCAGAGACCGACTCTGAGCCTCACCCCCCGCCCCTAAACATAAGGGATGGGTCTGGTGAGAGGCTTGGAGAACTGCCCTAAACCTGATGTGACATGATGGGGGGCAGCAGGTTCCCCTCTCAGAACAGCTCCTCCCCTCCCCCGCACACCAGCCAGCCTGGGGTGGGATTTCAGTGTGACTTGTGCCATGGAAAGTTAAACTGTCTTCTACTGTTCACCCACCGGGGGGCGCTGTGTATAAAAGACTTTATTTAAATGAAACTAACAGAGGGTCCTGTGGCACCTTTAAGACTAACAGAAGTATTGGGAGCATAAGCTTTCGTGGGTAAGAACCTCACTTCTTCAGATGCAAGAACCTCACTTGCATCTGAAGAAGTGGGTAAGAACCTCACTTGCATCTGAAGAAGTGAGGTTCTTACCCATGAAAGCTTATGCTCCCAATACTTCTGTTAGTCTTAAAGGTGCCACAGGACCCTCTGTTACTTTTTACAGATTCAGACTAACACGGCTACCCCTCTGATACTTTATTTAAATGAAGTTCAGCCCTGCTGGGCAAAGCACACGGATGAACACGCCTGGTACAAACGAAGCTCTGTAGCCAGCAGCTCATATCCCTGCATAAGTATGTGACAGTATTGCATAGGACAAGTCCCTTTGTTATTATTTGAAGGGCACCATGGGAGAGTCGCTGTCATGTCATCATTTTCTGTATAGTGGGGAAGTACAAGTGAGCCAAAGCTGGAATCCGCACTAATATTTTTTTCTCTCTTATCCGCTGGTTAGGATTCCATGGGTTGAGAACTAAAAATAGACTCACAGATAATAGACAAACCAGCTGCAGATCAGCAACAAACTCTTCGATTTTGACTTTCTGCAGAAGACAGTTTGAAAGTGCTACTGCAGTCTCATTACCGTCTAGGTTGTCAGTTTACACTCTGCACAGCCACACAGACTGTCAATACGTAACAGTCATTATATTTTTTCCAGTCTTAATGCTGTTTGCCTTGTATGCACTATGCTCAAAAAGTGACATTTTATATCTATGACAGTGTTTCCCTGTCAGCGCCTCACAGATACTAACAAATTTATATACACAATACTCTGGTGAGGCAGCAAATTACTATAATCTCCATTTTGCAAATGAGGAACAAGTAAAGAAAGGTGATTTGCTCAAGGTCATATCTCCTGAATCCTACTCTGATGCCTGAACCACAAAATCATCCACAACACTGCAGAAAACTTTCCTCAAGTGGCACTTATTGTCAGGAATTGAAACTCCGTGGGACTCCTTAGCTTTGGAGTTACAAGGCCTCCTGTTGATTCAACATCTGAAATTGGGGGGCGGGGCGGGGAATCTGAGCAGCCATACATGTGGAGTCTTGGGATTGTCAACAGGGAACCTCAGGAGAATACACAAAAAATCACTTTCCTATCTTTCTGTGGGAGGGGGACTTTCCAGTTGACTAAAATGACAGCTCACTAGAAGCATCAATATACACAGTAAAAGTCCCTGTGTTGATTTTCTTAAAAGTTGTGTATAATGATTTTTAGGCACCATTTAAAAGTAAAGGTCACACTGGAAACATCCTTTAAACAAATCACTGTACTTTTTGTAATAAAAAGGAAGTCATACTTCAATAAGTGTGACTGTAGCATCCAAGGATATCTATGTACTGTGCAAACAATTAAATAAGGAATATAGGAATTGCCATACCATTCCAGACTATTGTTCCATTATTCTGGTATCATGTCTGGTGCACATAAATGGCCAGTACCAGATGGTCAGAAGAGAGCGCAAGGAATACCACAATGGAAAATTATGTAATAACCTGCCGAGGGGGAAGAGTTTTTTCTTAACCTTAGTGGTTGGCTTCTGCTCTAAAGGGTGATGGTGGATGTCCTAAAACTTTTATCCTACCTTATATAATTATGAATGTTCTTATCCACATAAAAGTGCAATCATCCTTTGAATCCTAAGTACTTGGCGTCAGTGATATGTTGTTGGCAGTGAGTTCCACACATAAATTAAACATGGTATAAAAATCAGCAGATTTTTTTGAGATAGGATTCCACTGTCAGGTAGGCATGTATTTTATTCCTTTTACACATGGGTAAATTGCAGAAGAAAATGGCTAAGTAATTTGTACCATATCAGTCAATGAATCAGAGGCAGAGCCAAGAACAGACCCGAGGAGTCCTCACTACAGCTCTAACCCCTAAAACACATCCCAGTTTTGAACATCCTTGAATAGAGTTTAAACTTAAATAATAGTATCATTACTGCATGCTGATTTTTTCTCATATAGATGATGACCAAGTGGGATAGTTAAAGATACAAGGCCAAGCAGGTGGTGGAGTTTGCAGTGAATGGTTTTGTTACTATTATAATTCTGAAGGCTGTGTAAATCAATCGTATTATGCTCACTTATACCAACAGTGAGTTTGGGACAGGGTTATTTCTCTTTAAAACCTGATATGTTGCTAGTTGGTTTTACAAGTGGTGGATGCTGCTTTATAATAAACATTTCTAAAAGGACTGTGAGTCAAAGACATCTAAGCCCTACACCCAACCTACAATATAAACAAAAACATTTAAAAGGGAAAGAAGAGCCCCTCACCGATAGCGTGGATTGATTTAATTCAGAAGCAGGAAACCTTGATTTAAATAATAAGTTTAAATCTTGATTTCTATTTATACTTTTTTGTTATTTTCTTCAAGAAAAGCTGGTTCGCACTGGCTGGTAAAATCAACAGTTTTTAACTAAATTTACCCTTTACACAAAATTTAAGCATTCTTTTTGGTAATCAGGCCAATACACTATATCTATACACATTTATTTAAACAATTATATAGCTTAATATACATTTATTCAGATTCTTAATTTTTACATTTTTTACATTAGAAAATGATGAACAATTCATTTCTTTCAGAGTAGCAGCCGTGTTAGTCTGTATCCGCAAAAAGAACAGGAGTACTTGTGGCACAGTCGCTAAGGTGCCACAAGTACTCCAATTCATTTCTTGTTTTCTAGATGGTTAATTTTTTACTTGTGATTTGTGTCAAGCTCTATTTGGATGAAAATTGGAATTAAATTTAAAATGAGTAAAACAGCTTTTAAAAATGCATTAGCTAAATAAAACTACCTTCAGTGTTCTGGAAACAAAAGCCAAATGTTTTGATAAACATGTTTTGCATTTAAAACTGATTTTTTAAACAAAGGAAGTATTGTTTGTCATTGGTGATTTGAAGTGATTGTTTTGGTACCATTATCCTTCAAGATTTTAGGACAGACCTCATCCTCCCTCACCTAGTTTTTATTCACAGATTGGGAGAGGAAAATGAGTTTTCCTGCTTTATCAACTCCCAATCAGTTTCTCAACTTTGAATGAACTAGTGATTGAACTGAACTAGTTGACTACACTGAAATGAAGGAAATATTCTCTCTGCACCGGCAGAAGAGGCTACTGCTGTAAAAAGCTGGTTTAACACTTCAACAACTCTAGTTCCTGGTGCTTAGTCACCAGTTCAGTGGCTTGACTTCCTTTAAAACTTGGACCACAAACAAGTACCGTTCAATATTGTTTTAAATGTATCTTAAATTATTTTAATAGATTATATCAAGTTTAGGTCTCAACATAGGTTGTCATAATTTCAAATTTAATTTTAAATGGGTTTATCTTTAAAGACAAAAATGTAATTTACATTATATCTTTTTTAAATTAAAAAATAAATTTTTATCCATGCTGATCACCAAACAGTGTTCTTCTCTGCCTTCACCTCCCCCCGAAAAGGTGGGGGCAAGAGAAACCCAAGATTGAATGGAAAGTAAAACCAGATGCAGGCAGGGTGACACAGCTGGACTTTAGCATCTGTTTAAATGAACCATGTATTGATTTGCCGTTCAGATTCTTTCCACTGAGTCTCTCTCTTTGATGGCTTTTTAAAAATTATTTTTAGCACTCTGGCAGTTGTGAGCAAAAGGGCAAGGATTGCTGGGTTTTGGTGGCTTCAGGAAGAAGATCAAAAACAATAGTTGTTGTCCATAACATTCTCTCTATGTACATAAAAGTGAAATAAAGGACCAATAATGTATACTCAAGTTTGTCAAAATAGAGATCACTAATGCATCTTCCAAAGGGAGGTTGCATGCCTAGCATAGGGTTCTAAAATAAGATATGCAGTCCCCAGGAAACCCTATACTGTGCATTATTGAAGAAATATGTAGAGGATAATATTAATGCCTGAAGATAAGCTGCAAGAAACAGGCCTGTAAATTAAAAGCAGCTTTTAGCTGTGAATTTACTCCACCACCAGTGATGTTAATTCCTGATTCAAACAAACTCAAGATATTTTGGTTTTGTTAGTTTGGAACTTCTGTGCCCTGTGTCTGACCAACACCAGATGCTTCAGATGAAGATGCCTCCCCTCCCCCAAAATATTGTTCACATAGTAGTTCTAGAGTAACCTACCTACCAAGTAAGATTTTCCTCAATATATCTCAGAGCTGGTTTATGCCCTGAAGCATGAGGGATTTATTACAGCTGTGTGGAGAAAGGTAGTTCTCTTTCATGGAGGATTTTATTTCAAAATTTGGTTTCATTCAGATTAGGATCCCAACAGTTCTCCGCAAAAGGGAATGGAGCCCCAACCAAAGGCAGGTTGCCCTGAAACCTGGGACCCTGAAAGCCCTCTCTGAGGCAAACCACCTGCAGCTCTGCTGAGGAGCCAGATGGGCAGGCTGCATGAAAGAATCCTAATAGAAACAATGCCTCCTAGGTTTTGAAACGTACCTGAGTTCGGTTGGAATTTTCAGGGATGTTTCAGATTTTGACAAATCAGCAAATTCTGACAAAATATCTTCTCAGAACTTTTTTGAACAGCTCTAGGTTTTAATCCCGACCAACTGTTTGGGTTTTTTGTTGGTTGGTTTTAAAATCCTCTCTATGCTAACTCTGGCTTGTTATCCATAGAAGTTTGTGATCCTTTTTTTGAATCCAACTAGAATTTTAGCTCTCAAGACTAGCTTGTGGTAACAAGTTCCTCAACTGGGTTCACTGAGAGTCCCCTGGCTCATGTAGCATGAGGATGAATTGGCATACCCAATTTACCAGCTCTACACCATTTGTTTTTGTACATACATACACACACCTCATCTCTCACAAGTAGACCGCTGCAATCTTTTCAGTCTCTTTTCTTGCAGAGTTTGGTGCTAGGAGTTACAAACTCATTCTGAGATTAGAAATCAAGGAGTGTTCCTTCCCACTCATGCACCATCACCAGTAAGATTATACTGGCTAGCTTCTATCATCCAACCTGGGAAATTAGTTGAGGTGCTGAGTTTGCATACATATGAAAAAGAATACTGTCCTGCAATTGGAATGTGTATAACAATATTTTGGACAATGTGCAAAGGAGAAATAGAATTCAGTTCAATTGCTATAGCATTACAAAGCCAACATAGGCAGCAGCTGTAAAAAATGTACGTCACTAATAGACAAAGGGGTGCGTGTGAGAGAATAAAATCCATTAATTGTAAGGCACTCAAGCCCAGATCCTCAAAAGGTATTTGGGCTCCTAACTTCTGTTGATTTCAATGGAAGTTAAGAGCCTAAATGCCTTTGAGGATCTGGGCCCCAGATACTACAGTAATGGACGGCTATGACTAACTCTATACGGGTGACAATATAGCTATGTTCACATCCTACACATCTACAAAATGTATTACAAGGCATGTCTTGTAAAGTATCATTTCAAAATTCATAATTTGCTAGTCAGTATAATCCTGATAAAGTATGCGTAGCAACATTGTATGTAATGTTATAAGATTTGCCTGTATGATGTTATTAACACATGTTCCAAACTCCACAGCCCTGCCCAAACTGAGGCTGGTAGACTGGTCTGTCCTAAACAAAGGAATGTGGGCTTTGCCTTATTTTGTATTTAAGCAGTAAACAGTCATCCAGCAGGAAGGGAAGCAAAGAAAGCTCAAATAGGTGAGAAAAACCCAGCAGGGAACATCCTTCCACATAGACTCTGTCTCCTAGTGACCAGCTGGAAATGTTTTTCAAGAGAGGGACAAACTATAAAAAGGAGGGACAAATGCCCCAAGGCCCCACTCTCTCTCCCTGCCCATTCCATTCAGTGCATCTGAAGCAAAAAAAGGAAGCATTTGTTGGACTCTAGAGTGCGGCGTGGGGTCCTGACCTACAGGGTTTGGTCAATATAATGGCTGAAAGCATGTGGTGAATCTGTGCTTGAATCTGTTGTAGTTTGTGAAGTTAGGTATTACTAAACATCTTATGTTTATTTTTCTTATAACTATTTCTGACTTATGCCTCATTACTCATACTCGCTTAAAATCTTTGTAGTTAATAAAACTTTTTACAATTTTATCTAATCCAGTATGTTTAAATTGAAGTGTCTGAATAACTGAGATAATAAGATGGCATATTATTCCCTTTAAAGAATAACAGATTTAAGATACTACATAATATCTAGGAGTGGGCTGGGCAGTACAGGACATATTTCTGGGGAGAAACCTGGGACTGGGGGTGTGTTAGGGTCACCCTGCAGTATAACCAAGACCGGTGAGAGCCAGTGTGTAACCCAAGTGTCGCTTGCAGGCTGCAGTTACACACAGACACATTGGGTGGGCCTTGCATGCTGGAAGGCTGGCTGTGAGTGACCCTGGTAGAAGCTACTTCAGCAAGGCATTGTAAGGCACCCAAGCTTGCAGGGCAGGAGTGATACAGCTCCTCATTAGTCTGGATTGCACCCTGGTATGTCACAATACATAATTAGAAAACAGATTAGAGTCAGAAAGTGCTATTTTAAGCCACCTCTACAATTGCACTTAAAACTGCTCTTCGATTTGATTAAAATATGATACATTCCTGAAGGACTCCTTGAAAAGAGAAAAGTTACAGAAGAGTCATTTTGCAATAATGTATCAAAATAACTGACTGCATTACATTTAAATTGAGAAGCAGCTTGCATGAATGACTTCTCTCCAAAGTTTTACTACAAACAGACTTTTAATGCATACAAAAAAAAACAACAACGCAAATGCACACCACAAAAATTCATTTGTACTTCATCTAATAAAGCTACTGCTACATAACTGTCTATTTTCAAGAAGCAAAATTCAGACCAGAGGTAAACATTTGAACCATGAGCATGCAAGAGACAGAAGTTAGAGGAAACATGTACATCCAAAGCACTATTAAAATATATCCTAATTGTAATGTTTAAGTGATCTCCAACCTATACCATGCTATAAAATGCCCTTTAAAAAAAAGTCACATTAATGCAAACAAACTATTGTGTCCTTGTTTCTAGTGGGAAGTTACAGTGACAATTTCCCAGATAGTTTAGAAACCTCTGGTCTAAAACATACTGCAACTGATCTCACCACAGTAAATTTTTCGGTTTTACACTAGAAAGTTTAGAAAGATAAATTGCTATGATAAGAAAGTTACAATACAATTTTTTGTACATGTTAAAAATAAAATCTTTTTTTTAGGCCCAAAGCACAAATTTAGAATAGTTGGATTTCCCAAGATTAGGGAATTACTAACAGAACTTCCCTTTTCAGCTTTTGGGATATATTCTTCTCTTGATACATGTGAACTATGTACTGAAGTCCCATATTCATGAAGACAAGAATGTACCACTTCCCCGGTACACTTGTTACACTGTAACAGCTCCTTTCAATTTTGAGCTTCACAAACTAACACCTGTACTCATCTATTTGGTGCAATATTTTTAACAAGGCATAAAGAGGAAATGGGGTAAGAAGTCATTGAGAACTGTTGCAATTTGAGACTTTTTAGCCTCCCTCCACCCCCACATGTACATAGATAGAACTTCAGTAGTAACTTTTGACATGAGTCCAGAAGAGTGTGCACTTAATACATGAGTCTGCTGTTGCTTAGTCCCACATGGAAACCTTCCAAAAAGAAAGTTAAAAATAATGCCTGCTTTGTTTTTCCTGGGATGCCAGTCTCAGTTTGAGAAACTCTTGTCTAAGAAGTATGTTTCCCCTGCTAAACAAAACAAAACAAAAAAACCTAATTCTGTAAAAAGGAGGTTGGACTATAAACCAACCCAAAGTGCTTCTAATGCCCAGCCATTTTAGATCTTCATGAGAGATACACTAGTTGTACTGTATATTTATATATTGTGTGTGGCACATTAATCCCATATGGGCAAAGTTTATTTTTTAAATAAAAATATACTGTATATAAAACACTAGGAAGATATCTGGAAACTTGTACCAGCCAAAGTTTACATGTTTTGACATTTAAAAATAGGATTAATTCACTATTTAACAGTCAAATACTATAATTATACATTTTGAGTATATTTGATTAACTCTGATCAAGATGGGAACATTTTACACTGAATATTTCAGCACTCATATCCAATAATGTGAGATATGCAAAATAATTGGTCTATATTGTGTAGACTTTTAGAAGTTTATTCCCATATCAAAGGTTCAATCCAACAGTCTCTGCAAGACCCCAGTTACCCAATAGGCCTGCCCCAAAGCCCATTCATGACAGTGGGAATCTTTCTATGGTCTCCAGTGGCTTTAGATCAGGCCAGCTTCCAGGATGCAGTATTGGCCTAATGCATGTGGAATTAATAGCTTTTGGCTTAAATTTTCAAAAATGGTTAGTGACTGGTTTTGGATGCTGAACTTGACCCAAAAAATTGAAATATCCAGTTAGTAAACAAAATCACCACTCACGTTCAAAATTTAGGCCCCAATCCAGTAAGATATTTAAATACATGCTTAACTTTAAGCAAAAATTGTTCCATTGAAGTCAATAAGGCTACTCTCATGCTTAAATGCTTTCAAGATCAAAGGCTTAAAGTCCCAATTCAGAGGTGCCTAAGCACCTCTGAAGATCGAAGTTGCAACTGCTACATGTATAAAAAGCAGATTAGGCCTCCAAATGTTTAATTAAAGGAAAATATGACCTCTTTTAGATAACTTTTAGAACCATTTGTTTGTGTAAGGAAATTGAAGTCAGCACCCAAGTTAGTTTTCCATGAATAAAAGAATTGTTAGACTTATCTTTTATTGCTGGATTACATTTGACAAATTCTGAAATGTTTCTATTTTGCAAGACGTATTCACGCTATAACTGGTACACTTAATACCATTTATAGTAATGTGGCATGCGCTAGTGAAAGATAGGCCAAATTATGATCCCAATAACTATATCATCAGGATTTGACCTAATTTGATTCTTTACTTTGTTACAAGTCCAATTACACTATATTTTCCTCTTTAAGTCTTTCAAGAAGTGATTCATATTCAGTTATGTAGTGTCACCAATAAAGCACTGTAAGTAAAGTACATTTGAACTAAAATTTCATCATTTTATGTCATTGCACCAGTATACATAATGTATTTAGTGCGTTTTTTTTTAATAAGAGTGCTAAGAGTTCCATTGATTAAATTGTAATAGTAGCAAAACCAAGAGGTACTTCTCCATATTTACATTAAGTCAAAAATGCTTGCTTGGGAAGAAGACACTTATAATGATCAGGTACAATGAGTGTTAAAATCCATTAAACAGATTAAGTTCATGAAAATATATATATTAATTAGTTTCATTCCAATGAATTTTGGAAGCTTTACCTGTACACACTTTATAGGGTCTATTCTCCTTTGAATACACCTCTGTCTGTCCCTGTCTCAGCAACAGTCATTGAACTAAATTATGCACATTGAGGGAACAGAATTCACAATATCTTTATAATAAATACTGTGAAGGGAAAAGGGCTGGATGCATAACCAGATCATTCTTTTCCCTCAATTAGTAGAAGCATCAGTTCCTGTTTTTCCCATTGGTGCCTCACTAAAAAGCAGTTTTCGAAGAATATTTGCATAGAATGGTCCATACACTTGTTTATTAAAATTCACAATGCTTGCATACTGAGATCCAATAGACTCTATCTCTGCCTGAATCACAGCAAGGCCTCCTGGAATCGTAGGCATACATTTCTGAATGGTTGGAAGAGTAAGCAGGCTTTTCATATATAGCTGGATTCGCTTATCTGAAACAGAGAAGATAACTGAGTTCATGATAGAACAGACCATATAAATGTAAATCCAAAGTGTCAAGCCACAGTTGCCTTAGAAATACTTCACACATTGGCACATGGAAGAAACAAAATAAGCAGAAACACAGCTTGAATGCTACCTTTCCCTATCTTCCTCCCTTCAGTTTTAATTTAGAACAAAGTCACGTTTTTCCCATTGTAGAGGGACAACCTTCAGACTGAGCAATAGGATTTATGTTGTGAAATAGATGCACAGCTATAATGAAGATGGAGTTAAACCCCAAGTTGTGGGAGGTAGATCCTCCACTGGTGCACACAATCCGCAATTAGGTATTAATTAAATTCCCCTCTGAAATCCTGGCACTTCTAGGTTCACAGAGAACATCCCAGAATCACTGAGAGCATTCTGCTCATATTTCTGGACTCTTTCTAACTTTGTTGTCCCCCCGACCCAATCTTTCAGAAGACTGTCTTGATATAAACAATAGAAGCAGCACAGGTTTGCACACTTTATGACCCAATATTTACTGTAAGAAAGTTACTTTCATTTTAACTTTTTCACAATAAAAAGTCAATCTAACTTTAATTTTTACAGTATGGATGGGCAATTAGCCTTCATTAAAAAAAATTGCATACATGCATACAACCAGAGAACCACACAAATTATACTAACCAATCAGGGAGCTCATGGGATTATCTTCTTCAACAATGCTACAGATCTGACCCACTAGGCTGTTTTGAATTTCCATATTTAGAGTGGGAAATCCTCTCTCAGACAGGGACCTGTTCACTTCACTGCAAATCTGAACACCTATAGTATTCAGAGCCTCTTTCAAATCAAATTTTCTGAAAAGAAAAAAGTTTGAGCATTTAACTCTAACAGTTCTTGTAACATCAGTTGCATAGCTATTCCCCCATTTTCTTTTTTCTTTTTAAATTAGTCATCTCCAATAAAAATGAGAGAGCCAGGTGGATTTTTGCAAACTTTGTCAGCTTTTCCAGATATGAGACACAAATCTTCCACCCCAGGATAAGAGTAGATCCCATTGGCAGGGATGTGAGGGAGGAGGAAGAGAAAGGACTGCTCATATGATTAAATTCTGTTGGTGTCAATGAGACTAATACATGTGCTTAAAGTTAAACATGCACTTAAATACCGTGGTCCCAGTCCAGGAAAATACTTAAGTACACTTAGCTGAACCTGGGTCTACAGTTCAAATTGCCCAAGTAATGACTGACAGAGTTGTTGCAACCAAACAGCTGTTTGGTGGCACACGTGAACCAAGTTTCTATTCTTAATGCCAGTCCATATAGGGCAGTGTCCACAACACACACAAACAAAATCACCATCACCACAATTTGTAGCACTAGTGGCAATTGCAGCAGAGGAGCCAGGAACTGAATGAATAACGTGAAAGACTGAAGCAATTGGCAGAGCAACATGATGAAGCTTGCACTGCCACTGTCTGGCTGACCTGAATGGTGCATAATTGGAGAAATGTCAACACTATACACTGAATTTGGTGTCAGATTTTCAGTACAAAAGTTTAAATTGTAAAAAAGAATTAAACTATATGCATGCATTAGGCCAGCAGTTCTCAAACTGTGGGTCAGGGCACCAAAGAGGGTCATGACCAGTGTTCCCTCTAATTTTTTAGGTCCATGTGCAGAATGAATTTTGTTATGTGTACCAATATGGAGGTGATGTGTGGGGGGGGTGGGGCCGAGGGGTTCAGAGTGTGGGAGGGGGCTCAGGGCTGGGGCAGAGGGTTGGTGTGTGGGGGATGAGGGCTCTGCGATGGGGCAGAGGGGTTTGGGGTGTAGGAGGGGGCTCAGGGCTGGGGCAGAGGGTTGTGGGGCGGGTTCTGGGTAAGGCCAAGGATGAGGGGTTTGTGGTACAGGCTGCCACGGGGCTGCAGCGGGGGCGGGGGGGGAAGAGAGAGAGAGCGCACTCCCCCCATCCCTCTCTCACTGCAGCAGCTCAGGGCCAGGTGAGAAGCCCCTCTCTCCAGCCGCAGCACTTCCGGTGGGCCTGGGATGGGCTGGGCCAGGCCAGGGGAGGGGCTCCTCTCCCCGGCAGCTCTGGCAGACCTGGGCTGGGCCTGGGGAGGGGCTCCTCTCTCCAGCCGCAGCACTTCCGGTGGGCCTGGGCTGGGCCAGACCGGGCCAGGCGAGGGGCTCCTCTGCCCAGCAGCTCCGGTGGGCCTGGGCTGGGTGCCTTGCCGCACAACTTACACGGAACTTAGGTCACAACCACATTTTAATGAGGTCGCCAGGGCTGGCTTAGACTTGCTGGGGCTCAGAGCTGAAACCCAAGCCCCACTGCCTGGGACCGAAACCGAAGCCCAAGAGATTCAGCCCTGGTGGGGGCTGAAGCCCTTGGGCTTCGGTTTCAGCCCCCAGGGCCGGCTCCAGGTACCAGCCCACCAAGCTTGTGCTTTGGGCGGCACCTGGAGGGGGGCTGCGCGGCGCTCCGCCCTCCCCCCGGCGCCCTCCCCCCAGCCGCCGGGGGGAGAGCGGCGAGCCCCGGCCGGGGCTCCCCGCCCTCTCGCCGCCCTGCCCCCTGTGCTCTGGCCACCAGGGGGAGAGCGGAGACCCGGCCGGGGCTCACCACCCTGCCCCCAGTGCTCTGGCTGCCCTCCCCCCCGGCCGCCGGGGGGAGAGCGGAGCCCCCACCGGGGCTCCGGCCGCCCTCCCCCCCGCCCCCCGCGGCAAAAAAGCCAGAGCCAGCCCTGTTGGCCCCTACCCCATCCAGAGCAGTGGGGCTTGGGCTTTGGCTCTTCCATCCAGGGCAGTGGGAATCAGGCGGACTCAGGCTTTGGTCCCCTCTCCTGGGGTCATGTAGTAATTCTGGTTATCAGAAGCGGGGGTTGCAATGCAATGAAGTTTGCATTAGGCAACTGTTTTCACTAGTACACATGTAGGTTTAAGAGTGATTCATAATAAATGGATTATTACTATCGATTATATTCATATCAGTAACAAGGTACATAGGCTATACAGCATTTTAACTATTTCTGTAAAAAACACACCACCAGTAAAGTTTGTTAAAAGCCACCTGGCCTTTTTCTTTAAAGAGAAAAAAAAAAGTGAGAAAGAACTTACTCCTTGTTCATCCCTTCCAGCAGAACAGCTGAAATCCTTTTTAATTTGTCAGCAAAATCAGGTAAGCCCACAATAGTTGTGGCCACCATATTGCTAGTTATAAGAGATACACAGGCTATAATCCGTAACTCATTCAGCTTCTCTTTCAACTTCTGAAGACGAACTTCATCTGTTATTAACGTCTAGAATTAGAATAGCATTGATTACTGTAAGTGATACCGAGTTGAGACTTCAGCGAATTCCCTAACAAGTAATTCGAGGGGGACAGAGGAGAAGCTACTTTCATGCAACATTGCAGCAGAAAATTTCAGTACTCAAAAGTCAAGAAGTTCACAGTAATTATAGCCAACCCCTTGCATACGTAGTATTATACAGTTCCTTTTAAAATAAACCAAAAAAAATTACTTTTTAATAGATTAAAAAAAACCTTAATCAAGAAATAGAAAAATGTATGGCGAAGTCCTACCTCAACTCTTGCCCCTTTATAGAAAGTAAAGAGGGCCAGAGTGGCATTAGGAGCCCTAGAAGTCCTGAACACAGTCGAGGGAGGATTCCTTCAGTTTGTGAACTGCGGAAGACTGACCTAAGGTTGCCTTCAGACGCCTCCCTTGTGAGCCCAAGTGTGTGGTGGGGGTGGGGCTGCAGCTTGCTGCCCATAGGACAGTGCTAGGAGCTGGCCACCTAAGCCCCTGGAGCAGCCCAGGATCAGGATGATGCTAATCATTTTCAAACTAAATAAATTCACCCACACTGAGCAGAAGAACATATCCAATATATACAGAACTGGGTTTCAAAAAAGAAGACTTAATAGCTTCAGGGGGGTTGTGTCATTAAAAATTCAAAATATTTTGACCAGCTCCAAGTAGTAATAGTAACTAGTCATAAAACATCTGGGTAGATGGATAATTTAATGTTAGTAACAGGACACTTCGGTGGATTTTAAGGTGTATCTACTCTTTCAGCAGTTTGCAATGGAAAAATAACTTCTAGAGTAGTACAATGAGAATGTTCATCTAACTTCTTATATGGAGCCCTATCACTGTGACATCAAAGTGCCTCTCCAAAAATTAAGGCCCCGATCCTAAAAAATACTTAAGCACAGTTATCCTTAGGCATGTTTGAAGTCCCGTTTACTTCACTGGGACTACTCAGATGATTTAAATCCTTTGCTGGACTGGAGCCTATGTGTTCAGACATATTTCTCTTCCCTCCAGTCAAGAGAGGCTGGATTTCTCCCACACTCCTACCCCTTTTCTTAAAGATAGTTATAGTGCATTATTATGGGATGGCTAAGTCAAAGTAGTGGGTTGGCCATTTTCTCTGAAAATTCTGAGATTCTTAGCAGCATTCTGATCTCTTGCGGAGAATTCCAGGTTAACGGACCATTTATAGCCGAACTGTTATCTGTTGCATAGAGATTTCACCGTTACAGATGACAGTACCATTGTTGCAGTGGAATGTAGCGGTCACAAGAGATGGTGAGCAAACAGGCTGAGGTGGTCATTCAGGGAACTTGGGCCAATGCCATACAGGGGTAGAAGATGGGGACTAAAGCCTTGACTGTGACCCAGTATGGAACAGGGAGCCAGTCACAGAGAACAACACTGGGTTCATGTGCTCTTTGTAGCCTGCACTGATGAACAATTGGATGCAGTGTTCCACACTGACGTTTTGTTTTCAAAAACTTAAGTCTACAGTTTTCATTCATAGGAAGAGAATTAAGATAATCAAGCCTAAAGCCCACATATCCATCGAGTTCCATGGATAAGTACAAATCAGACAGGAACAGGAACAGTCTTCTTGCCAACCTTAGATGGAAGAGTTTTATGCAGCTCAAAAGCTTGTCTATCTCACCAACAGAAATTGGTCCAATAAAAGATATTTCCTCGTCTACCTTGTCTTTCAGATGGAAGAGGGCACATTTTACTAATCTGGGCATAAAGGCATTCAGAAGTTGTAAACAGTTCAGGTGAATATGAATGCTGCAAACTCTTCACAATCTAACAGTACACGTCCTTCAAAGTGAGGTTACTGATTTGGTAAATGCTCCTTTCTCCCCACCAGCATCACTTCAGTCTTCCTGGGTTTAACTGCTGCCAATCTGGTCTTCATTCATTGTTGTTCTCAGCCAAGTATTTAGATAGCTAGCAGATAGATTAAACACACCACTAATTGTACAGGTAACGGAGGTAGGCATCATTTTCTTACTGCTAGCATTTAAGTCATGCTGCTTTACCATTTTCCTCTAGTGGGTTCATACAGTTGAACAGAATTGATCCCTGGGGGACTCTCCAGATGGCAAAGCAGGTGCCAATCATGATTCCATATATGGCCCAAGGGGAATGACCAACGCTTATTAGCGGGAAACTGCTAATACTTGCTATTTCTGGCAGGACAGGAGGATTCCATGGTCAAATGTCTTAAATGCTACAGAGAAGTCCAGTAATATCAGAACGGATGCACTGCCTTTGTCCATGGCAAGGAGATCATTCATAATGTGAACTAATGATCTGCTGTCCTATTAATTCAACCTTGGAGAAGATTCTCTAGCCATTAACATTAGTTTGCTCTTATCACAGTTAAGGTAACTAGTAAGGCTATTGCTATGTAGGAGAGAGCACGCACACAAGTGCATACACACACACAGTATCATCAGCACTATGACATTGTAATGCAGAGAACAACCAACCAACCGATACTTACCAGGAAAGTGCTCCTTGATTATGGAGCATGCTACTATGAAACCAGGAAATTTGTGGAATTATTTGCCAAGAGAAGTCCTACAGGACAGTTCCACAACATCTAGTGTCATGAATAGCATAACTGCTGTACCAGTACTTCCATGCAGTGAGAATTAAGAGTAAATTTTGAGGCACTGGGATAATTTAAGAAGAGATGAGAATTCACTTACCTCTGGAATTGCTTTTTTCTGATAATCCCATTGTAACAGTTTCAAGTAGCCATTGTTTAGCACCAGAGTAGGACTGAGATTTGGTTTAGAGCTACCATCAGCACCAGGGGATGAAGAAGTTTCACAAGAAACAGACAACAATTCATCTTTTATTGATTCCTTTATCCACTCTGTTGTTAGATCCAGAGCACCTAAACAATAACAAGATTCCGTACAGGTTTATTGTATAACTTTCTATGCAAGTGTACAATATATTGACAAGTAAGATAGGTGAACAAGACAACTCCATTTCTGATCTCTAAATAGACTGCAGTGGATTTAAGTCTGCTCAAGTCAGTTTTTCCCCAAGCTTTTTTCACCTAGCCAACACTGGTGACCAGCTGAAGCTTCTGGGCAGGTTATAAAAACACCATAGCAGACTAGTTGCACTGGAGGCACAAGCAAGATTTAAATACAGTTATCTGAACCTTCGGCAAGTCTAGTGCATTAGCCATCAATGTCACCAGTTTCCCTTCCTCTTCCAAAATTTCTTAACAATGGTTTAACTGTATTATCTTTACACTGCAACAAGACTCACTTGTGCCTTCACAACATCTAAACTAAACTTTTATTTTCACTAGAGAATAGGTTTTGTTGTTCTACGCTTCATTATGGACTTAATCCTGCCTCTGCCTGCTACCAATTACATAGCATGCAATGGAACGTATTCTGGAAAAACCAACCACTGTGCATGTGCATATGAACAGTAGCAGATTTTCAGATGCACAAAGAGAGTGGTTCCATATATTGCAAGATAAAAACTGAGCCCTATGTATGCAGAACTGTTTTAATCAATCAGATATCAAAAGCTTTGATTGCAGGAACAAGTTCTTCACAAACTGTATCATTTTGGTGTGGTCTTATGCATTTACAACAGCAGCGACCAATAAAGTCAGCATTTCACAATTATTAGTTATCATATAAAAGGTATGATACGGTCACATTTGCCCCCAGGTGCCTTGCTCAACAGATACCTATAGTAACAGAGAGAAAGGTTGGCTTTAATGGTTTCCACTGTATCTGATTAACTGAAAACATCATAATACATACTTGGTGTTTCTTCAAGAATTTCTTGGAATTTTGTTCTTTCATAGTCCACCAAGTTACGCTGAAGCTGTGGTCTAATGTTTTGAATGGTATAATTAACCATGTCCATTTTCATGAGGTCCAGAACATGGAATATTTGTCTGAAAGCAAAGACAAAATTACAGTGCAACATCACAGAAGAAATTAAGTTGAAGTTTCAAGATGAACTCATATGCTCTTGAACAGCCTGATGTACACCTACATACTTGACTTGTCTTGTAGTCCTTCTTCCTTAGAGAACAGGCTCCAAGTACTGAAGAGAAAGTACTGGCACTGCAGTGACTTTCATGGTAGTTTATATACCAAAGCATTTTGGAGAGTTAAATAATGTATTGGGATATTTGGTGTAAGATACAAAAATTAGGGCAAAGATGTTGCATGATCAAGACATTAGTGCCACAGGCCAACAACAGAAAGGTTTTGAAGCAATATGGAGTCAATTAACACATCGCAGCCAAAGCAAACTGAAATTTAAAACATTCTAGCAACTCTGACTATGCCAAAACAAAACACCTCATTCCCTCCTACTCAACCACTTTGCTCCCTGTAGGTATGCCTAAGTGATAGCAAAAACATTTAAAATAGTTTCTTGCTTTATATTACAGAGCTAATACATTTGAGGCTCATGCAGATTTGTTAATCAAACTTTAATAGTGAAGTCTTTAATAAAGAGAATGGTACAGACAAAGAATTGAGCTTCACTTTCATATTCCAGATGGAGTGTACACTTTTCCCCCTGGACAGTTCTAAACAAGAACACTCACCTTTTAACTTGTAAGAATAAGTAAGTTTGATATGGAAGCATGTGTAAAACACATGGAACTGCATGATGTTTTTGTTTTGTTTTCTTTTTTGTTTATAAAAAGAGTGACACTTTTCAGGGTATGGCAACACTTTAACATACACCATAGAAAAAATATGCTTGTGAAAAACCCAAAACAATTAGAACTCTTAGGCCTGGTCTACACTAACCCCCCAAGTCGAAGTAAGGTACGCAACTTCAGCTACGTGAATAACGTAGCTGAAGTCGACATACCTTACTTCGAACTTACCGCGGTTCAGACGCGGTCCACACGCGGCAGGCAGGCTCCCCCGTCGACTCCGCGGTACTCCTCTCGTTGAGCTGGAGTACCGCAGTTGACGGCGAGCACTTCCTGGTTCGATTTATAGCGTCCAGACCAGACGCGATAAATCGAACCCAGAAGTTCGATTTCCAGCCGCCGAACTAGCGGCTAAGTATAGACCAGCCCTTAGATGAAGTACCACGCTACCCAACTCTACTGCTAATCTAACCCAACTTGAAAGTATTTAGACAGTTTCTTAGCTTAGCCCGCTATTCTAGTTTAATGTTAGTTTTGAGTTCCTTTTCTTCTCCACCCAAACACCTTGTCTGTCAAAAATTGGTATTTTCTAAACAAATAAAAGATATGAAAAGTAGCCAAACACCAACCTCAACAATTCTACAATATTGCCAGTTGCTTTTAACTGTTTTATATCGTCATCTCTTATTGGAGCACATAATTTCCCCATAGTGATGATGACATAGTTAGCTAGCCCAAGAACGTCAACAGCATCATGCTCAGCCTGCTGTCTTATAAGATCTGCATCCAGGACTTCACAGATTTGGTTTCGAATCCTGTTTGCTCCAGGAGTCAAAAAGGAAAGAAGAGTCTGAAGTGAAAAAAACAAAAACAAAAACACCACAAGACATTTCAATAAGTGCAGCAACACAAGACCAGCAAGCCCTTAATAACTGTGATGAAATGAAAGCAGCTTTTTGAAGAAGTCAAGGGTACACTTAGGGTTACCATATTTCAGCAAGCAAAAAAGAGGACGGGAGGAGCCCCACCCCAGTCCTGCCCTAGCCCCGCCCCAGTCCTGCCCCTTCCACTCCCTCCCACTTCCCGCCCCCCTCAGGACCCCCAACCCTCCCCCTGCTCCTTGTCCCCTGACTGCCCCCTCCTGGGACCCCTGCCCCTAACTGCCCCCCAGGACTCCACCCCCTACCTAAGCCTCCCTGCTCTTTGTTCCCTGACTGCCCCCTCCTGAGACCCTCCCCCCATCCTAACTGGCCCCCTAGGACCCTACCCCCTACCTGTCCCCTGACTGCCCCAACCCTTATCCACACCCCCACCCCCAGACAGACCCCCGGGACTCCCATGCCCCATCCAACCACTCCCCACCCCCTGACAGCCCCCCCCAGAACTCCCGAACCATCTAAACCCCTCTGCTCCCTGTCCCCTGACTGCTCCGATCCCTCTCCCCACCCCTGCCCCCTGACAGCCCCCCCGCTCCTTGTCCCCTGACTACCCCTCCTGGGACCCCTGCTCCTAACTGCCCTCCAGAACCCCACCCCCTACCTAAGCCTCCCTGTTCCTTGTCCCCTAACTGCCCCCTCCTGAGACCCCCCCCCACCCTAACTGCCCCCCCAGGATCCTACCCCCTACCTGTACCCTGACTGCCCAAAACCTTATCCACATCCCCACCCCCAGAAAGCCCCCCCGAACGCCCGACCCACCCCCCCGTCTCTTGACTGCCCCCTCCAGAACCTCCCTGCCCCTTCTCCGACCCCCTGGCGCCCTTACTCTGCCGCTCAGACCAGCGTGCTGGGGAGGAGGAGCAGGGGGAGGAGCTCCAGACTGCCGGTGCGAACAGCCGGCTGGTGATCTGTGAATGCAGGGAGGGAGGGAGTGCTCTCAGCTGCAGGGGAGAGGAGGGGGAAGTGGAGGAGGGGCTCTCTCTGGCTGTCGGAGCCCCATGTAAGTGGCACCATCCGGCCGGCTGCCCTGTTAGCAGTGCGTGCTCTGCGGGGGAGGGAGAAGTCCGGACATTTACAAATTCCCCCCGGACGCTATTTTTAACTCTAAAAGCCGGACATGTCCGGGGGAATCCGGACGAATGGTAACCCTAGTACACTGTAGAGCCTGACTGCAAATCCTGAAATTGCAAAGGCTATTTTATTTAGCAGCATGGGAAATGCAGCCAAAGGGAACAGAATACAGATACAGAAGCTGGTGAAGACAAGTTTACCGGCTTACTGGCTGAGACCTTTGCAACCTTTCAGAAACACCTTTAGGTCTTTACTAATAAGTTAATGAATTGGTACCAGGATTTCCAGTAATAAGGGAAGATCTTGATCCTATTTGGAAAGTTTATTTCTGACTTTGTATTCTAGGTATACTATAGTACTGTATCACATCCCCATCCTGCAACTCAGATGCAGAAGTATCCCACTGACTACAGTGGGGGTCCACCCACATGGAATCATTTGCAGGACTGGGGCCTAAGATGTCAACACAATACTGGAGGTGTGAAGGGGGGGGGGGGGGAAACTAACTTGCCTCCTTAATTTCTTCGAAGAGTTTGATAGCATGATAATATTCTGGAGGATCTTCATTCAGTTCTGACTCCAAATGATCCCAGAATGCCTTATGTACAATTTGTTTCACTCTACCCTCCAAACTGTGGGGAAATGAATTTGCACAAAAAGATTTAAAGAAGTAAACAGAGTTTAAAAACAAAAACAACCACCACACACAATCTTAAGACAGTCCAATGACTGGTGGAGAACCATCATCATATCTGCTAATTGGAAGATCTAGATCTGCAACCAGATCACCCTTGGACCCGGGGTTATCACCCCACAAAACTAAACAGAATTAAGAATTAAAATGAGAGGTTTCCCAAGAAAATCCTGGTACTGCAGAAAGTGGTGCTGGCAATTCAGTATTTGGGTATAAAAGACTTTTATCCCAACTCTGTATTAAACCAATTCCACTAGCTTGGTGCTATTGACTAATACGTTTTTGGAGAAGCATTTTTTGTCATATATATAAAAAGAACAACCCTAACTTGTTATCAACAATAATCCCATTGTATTTTTGTAAAAACTGGCTCACTAGCATGGCCAGATTCCATTTTAAATTATAATCTCTCGCCATTCCCACTGTAGTCTAAACTGGGTATGTAAATTATTCCTTTCTTCCTCCAACTTCCCAGGAGTGTTTTAGTATGCAGAGCAGCACGAGTACTGTGTTCATTACTGAGATGAGTATAGTTTATACACAGCATTTGAGCTACTGAGTACGCTGTATAGATAAAAGCCATACATACCATACACACGGCAGTACTACAACTTTATCCCCTGCCCCCCCCTCCTTCCCAGAGGTCTTAGATTGGCAAGAAACATTAAAGGTGGACTCCAAAAGTAGAGTGCATACCACATTGCTTACATATCTCCCCTTATAGATAAGGCAGAGCACCATATGCTCCAGGAGCAGGGCTGACGCTTCCATTTAGGCGACCTAGGCGGTTGCCTAGGGCGCCAGGATTTGGGGAGGCGGCGGGGGATCCTTCCGCGCTCCGGGTCTTAGGTGGCAATTCTGCAGCGGGTCCTTCACTCGCTCCGGGACCCGCCGCTGAAGTGCCCCGAAGACTGGGAGCACGGAAGGACCCCCCCGCTGCAGAATTACCGACGACGACCAGGAGTGTGGAAGGACCCCAGCCTAGGGCGCCAAAAACCCTGGCGCCACTCCTGTCCAGGAGAAGAAAATGTGTTAACCCTACCAAACTGCAGCACTTATGTCACAATGTTGCAGCCTTGACAGTTCCCCATTAAGTGTGGAACACCTTCGCAGGTTGTGTACCTTCAGACCAGTTTCCCTTGCATGCACACACATACCCCATATCAGTTTCTGCAAAATGTATAAAGACTAACTTACCTGTTCTGTGGGAGGTCTACGTGTTCCATGTGAAAGTTTTCATTTACAGCAATTTCGTGAGCTAGAGTCAAATTTGACAAGTTTCTTGCAGCAGCCATCAATTCATCAAATGTAACAGTTTTTGGAGGGCTTGTTGCTGTAATGAAGGAAAGGAAATGAGAGCCACAAGTCAGTTGTAGGTAAGTTCAATTTTAAAAGACGGATTGGACTGCAAAAACCAAACGTGGAAATAGTTATGATGATATTTTATTTCCTGTTAACTGGACACTAATTTATGAGAGGCTAGCTAGACTGGGAGTTCTTAGCATCTCCTTAAAATGATCTGGTAAAGGAATGTCTTCCCAGCTCATCTTTGGAAGGTAGAAGACTCTCATGGCATGTTTTGAAGAGCAGCAGTTTACTCTTGGCCAATGTACCCCTCTCACTTTAAACACAGGACCCAGAGTTTTGGACGGGCAGGTTTTACATAAGAGTCAAAATAAATAAGCATGCATACAGGCTGCATGTTATTACTGAGCAAACAGATGCATTTCTCTCCATAATCATTGTAACCACAGTCTAAACTCATTATTTTGAGATATGCAGCTTCTGCTCCATAGCATATGCCAGTGTCTTTGCCCCACTAATCATGTCTCTTTGGGCTGGTGCACACTAACTCCCCACTTCGAACTAAGATACGCAACTTCAGCTACGTTATTCATGTAGCTGAAGTCGAACTATCTTCGTTCGAACTTACCGCGGGTCCACATGCAGCAGGCAGGCTCCCCCGTCGACTCCGTGTACTCCTCTCGCGGAGCAGGAGTACTGGCGTCGACAGCGAGCACTTCCGGGATCGATTTATCGTGTCTAGACAAGATGCGATAAATCGATCCCAGAAGATCGATTGCTTACCGCCGGACCCAGAGGTAAGTATAGACGTACCCTTACTGAAGAGTTTATGTTGTGAAGGACATAACACACCCTTACTTGAAAGAAGGAGTATACAAAGTTTCTAAAATAAACTTCTGTAGTTTACTTTTCATATTTGGAAACTGTACTTTTGAGAAGAATGATATAGGACAGGGAACATACCAAATACAAACTTTCAGTTCCACTAACAAGTTTACTTTTAAACTAAGACAAATTTATACATACTAAAAAGATTTGTTAGCATCAGTGAAGTGCTCTACAATTAAGTGTATTTTATGTACAGTGGTATTTATTCTCATAAGTCATTCAAAATAACTTGCTTCTTCACATGTCTATTTTGTGTTTTGACTTCTTACTGTTCAGTGAAAACAAGTCACAACACTATTGATTTGATTTCATAATTCTGAAGTTTAAAGGCTAAATAGATGCATCTTGTCCTTTGTATATGAAGCAACATTTGGTGGATGGACAGAATGGTACTATTTTATAACCTATAAACCAAAGCCAGAATAACCCAAGACAAGAATGCCCTGCCAGGCAAACTTTGGTTACTCTTTTAGAAGGAAGTAGTAACAACTGTTGCATGTATATTAAGGATCTGCTTGTGCTTCATGGTGGCAGACTGTACCACTTGGAGCTGTGGTGATCCAAACAAGAAGCTGTGCCTTTCTCCTAACACTCTGAAGTACCAATTATAAATCCCAAGTCTCACTACATGCGTATACACAAACACAGCCTATATATCTATTGTACAAGTTAAATCTCCTTACAAGCTGGGGAGCTGGGTTTGCTTGAAGAGTCACTAGTAAAACTCTGCCTTGAATATTCAGAGTCACTGGAAGAAGCTGTGCTTTCAGATAGCCTTGAAGAATCAAAATCACTGTTCTGGTCATCATTGAGGGGCATTTTGAATCACTTCACTTAGTACAGTACACAGAACCTGGAAAGAAATAATTTTACATGATCAACATTTTCCAGAACTTCATATTTTCCAAAGACTTCTTTACAAAAGCAGCAATATTTCAATAATTACGGTTATGAGCATTGAATATTACATTGCAAAATAGGGATAAATGCTTGCCTATTTTATAAGGGTGTTATGAAGTTTAGTGGTTTTGTGAAGTTAACTGCTTAATTTGTAACTTGTATAGGATTGTACAAATCCTAAGAATTAAACTTTCAATTCTGCAAGAAGTTAAATGAATATTAAAGATGAATGTCAGCAGCATCAACCTCTAATCTACTCTTTACGCAGAAGGTATTGTGCTGTCAGGAGCATCAGAAGCAGAGCTCTCAAACTCTTTAAAGGTACTCCTTAAAGCACTACCCTTCTGATGAATTTAGGTGCCGAGTAGCATTCTGAAGGCACCTTAGTTTCTGCACTTGGTCTGCACTTTCTCCCACAAAGTTACTGCAGTTACAGGGGCAGGAGCTATGTTTAAGGGGAGAGAGGGGACTAATACATCTTGTCAAAGATATTCAGTTTCTTCATGGATCTTGAAATGTGAAAGGACTCCCCTAAAAGGAGCAAGCCACAGAATAGGACTAATAATTGTGTTGAATTGGAAAGGTTTTCTCCAGAGATGAGATGAGGAAAAAACAAAAAACAAACAAAATAAACAATGAAGTTACTATTAATAAAAACCTAATGTTACATTTATGGTATATGGCAACTCACAGGGCTCTCACACTTCACAAAACTGTATGTATGAAATCGCATCCCACAACAGAGAAATTAAGTCACGTCTGGGAAGGAGCAGGACAGTTGCGTAGCTTCACTATGCAATGTTTTGCAGACTTAGGACAGGAAGTAAATACATTAATTAAAATTGGAGGTGGAATTTAAACAGATAGTCCATGTGGACTCCAAAATGGAGTTTGCGCAGGACACCAAGACTGGCACAGCTAATCTTGCATAAAGTGCTTGATGCCCACAGTTAGACACTTCTAATACAAGAGGCTACCTAGCACCATTTTGTCTCAGAAGAAAGTGAGATCTACTGAATCAGCAACACCAACTTCATCAGTAGTTCTTTGCAAACAGTTAAGTTCATTACTTAGTGCTTAAGAAAGCTAATGGACTCGATTTATACCTAAGCAGTTACAGCAGTGTCAGTGCAAGCTTCCTTGCTATTTTAACTCTTAGTCTGAAGAGGCCATGTCTAGGGGCTAGAGGGCAATTTGTTTTCTATGCCTATTCAACCCACCGTCTCACCAATGAGAATACCAAACACCAGAGTCAGATTGCTGGAGTTTTTAATGTGGGTACCTATCCACTGCTTAACTTGTTTTTTGGGCACCAGCTCATTCACACATCAGAAAGAACAGCTGACAACATTGTGCAGTAGCTTTGTGGAACTATGGTAGGATTCTTCTTTCAGTTAGAGGGCTCATGGGTTCAAGACCTGGGAAGTCTCTTGTGGACCTTTTAGTTGTGGGCTTGATACATGACTTACTGTCCTGTGTTATGCAGGAGGCCAGACTAGATGATCAGAGTGGGCTCTTCTGGACTTGAAATCTACAATAGTGACCTACTAAAACTACTAACTAGGAAAGAATTGAAACAAGTAACCTATGGTAGAAATGAAGGGCTTCAGATTCCTTGATCAATGTTATTCAGCCCCATCCCTCAAAAGAGAGAGCATAACAGAGCAAATATGATTATACTTAAAGGATCTGCAGGGTACCTATTTTTTCCATCTGATGACAGCAGGAGTATGTCATTGTTGGGAGCAGCAACACATCATATTTCAGGGCCTAAAGCACATGTGGAGAGGCATGCACACAGCTAGCTTCCAAAATATTGAATATCTGAGCTTACATTATAAGTTATTCTACCCAGAATCATGACTTTTTAAAAAGTCACAACATCTATAGAGAATAGAAATATACAATAAACACAGGATTTATCGTTGATATCTAGGGCTCAACAGACTGATGATGTAGAGGCTCTGTCTTTACAACTAATGAATTATGGTTGGTATTCTGAAGTTGTTGCTATGGAAATTGCTGTATCGCGAATACCTCTCTGTGTATCCAACATCACAGACAGAACCTGAAGCAGGTACATACCAGACAGAGGACAACAGGGAGTACATAGTTTTAATGACTGTGCTTTGACTATACAATAATTATGCTATGAAAGATCCCCAAGCTGGGAAACCAGTTTGGCCAAGCTGGTCTGTAGGTGGGCAGGAGAACTGGAAAGCTACCAAAGCAAAAGGATTCACAGGAAGTTTGAGCAGGAAAGGATAAGAGGACAGACCAGCCACGGTCAGAGTAGGCAAGCTGGGGAAGAAAGCACCACATTTCAGAACACAAATCATGCACTGCTACAGAAGGATATTGGATGGCTCCAAAGGACTGACCCTAGCCCAATGAACGTTACAGAGTGGTGAGGAAACTGAAGCATGGAAATGAATGTAGGGTTTATTATTTTTGTATAAATGCGAGTTAGCTCTTTAATAGCAAGAGGTGTGTTATAAACCTGTACCTGTTACATCTTATCACTTGCCAGAAGCTGGGACTGGCCAACAGGGGATGGATCACTCGGTAATTACCTTGTTCTGTTTATTCCCTCTGATGCATCTGGCACCAGCCACTGTCAGAAGACAGGATACTGGACTAGGTGAACCATTCTTTTATCCCTGTGTAGACAAATCCACAGGAACATAAGATTCGCAGCATGGCTGGCGCTGGCCCAGGTTAGCCGACTTGGACTCATGGGTCTAAAAATTGCTGTGTAGACAATTGGGCTCAGGCTGGAACTCAAGCTCTGGGACCTTCCACCCTCACAGGATCCCAGAGCTTGGGCTCCAGCCTGAATGTCTACACAATGATTTTTCAGCCCCAGAGCCCGAGCCCTGCGAGCCTGAGTCAGCTGACTTGAGCAAGCCACAGGTTTTTTTATCCTTGTGTAGACATTACCTCTTCAAGGGGCACATAGGGTAACCAGAAGGCTCACTCCTTCACATAGAGTTCTGGAAAAGGTGGTATTTAAGCTACTGAGGTGGTGGGGGAGGAAGTCTGAGGGGCCAGTACTAGTTCCAGGAACTCAACAGTGGGCCACATGCTCTGAGCTCCCAGAAGTGGGTGCCAGATAGATCTGCACCCCAAACTGTCGGCAGCAACTGGATTCTGTTCAGACTGGAGGCTTAAAACACACAGGATCTAGCAGCTCTGTTCCCTCACAGCAGTCTGGTGACTGGCTATGAGGAGGTGCTTGACTAGACCTCTGACACATGGCATTATATTACATGCTTTAAAAAAAAGTTCTTCCTCACAATGTATAATATTCACTACAAGCGTTAACTCTCAACTGTGAGTGTATTGAGCTGTCGTGAATAGGTGCCTTGCAAACCTGAAGATTGAGGATGCCTGTCCCCCCCAAAAAAGACTGAACAGATTGTGAGGAAAGCTTGCAATGTCACTACATGCTTCACCATTGAGCTGGAAGGTCCACATTCATGGGGTGAGCAGTGAATCCACTTTCTATGCCCATTTAATCCTTTGACTCTGCTGATATTAACAGCCAAGGGTCTTGAATATGTTATTTAGTGATGCACACACCTGTGTACCACCATGTGACTCAAGACTAACACCTGTTCCTGTAGCAGAGGCATGTGTGTGCATGAAACAGAGGAAACCTATTCATTTTTCTGATGTAGTTATTCACAAGCTTTTAATTATAAACTCCAGCAGCCCAACACAAGATGACACAGGGCAAGAGTATCAAGTCTTTGCTGGCAAAGGTCGTATTTCTTAGAGAAGTTCTCAGGGGTGTTGGGGGAATGCAGTCTGCACAGATCTTAATATTGTGGATCTGGACATTACTGGCATATTGTCACTGTAACAGATGCACCAAACAATAAGCATCCCCCCCCCCTGTATTTTCTGTGGTATAACAAGCAGAAAATTGGAAAATAAAATTTATTTACTTTTTTTTTTTTTTTTTTTAAAAGCTCATCCAACAGCTACCAGGTGAAGGAGAAAGAGACCCCTTATAAGTACAAACTGCCCAGGTGAGGGCTTCACATTTTCTAAATGTATGATATATATACACCCTGCATCCATAAACATTAGTGGACATTCTTGATGCAGAGGTTGGTTGCTATGTAGCGTGATCATTTCTCTGCAATTTAGTCTCCTTTCTTCCAAGTTGTGCACTCAGTTTTTCTTCCCTGATTTTTGATATAAAATGTTTATTATCCCTGATAAATCCAGGAAATCTCTTGTACTCCCTCATATTTGGAGATTGGAAAAAGAAAGCCATCTGTCTAAATTTTCACTTCTTGATTTAGAGTGTTTGTATCCCCCCCATTTGTGGCCACCAATTGGGTAGCTGGCAAGAGTCAAACTTAGCTTTTTACATTCAGTGTAGTGAGGTAGTCTGCCCACATGATAGATTATTGAAGATCACGGGACAGAACTATCTTGGTTTTTATTTGTTCTTCCCAGTGACTTTTATGTGTTGGTCCAATGTCTTGAGTATTTTTTTGATACGGGGTGGTACTGATCATGTTACTTGTCAGGATATGATAGTTGTTCAGCAACAATATATGGGAGTGGATCTGGTTTTCACTTGGATTTAGTTTTTATTTTTTTTATAGAATACCTTCCAGAAGCTTGAGATGGAAAGCAAATTTGCTGAGATGGCACTAGAAGGAGGAAAGCAATAACTCTGCTCTGCAGTCATTGTTTGGGGTGCAGTGTGTGGGGGAGGGGGAAAATGTACATATATTAGTTTGCAGATGTTTTACAGAGTTTATCCCAAAAAGTGTAATTAACTGCTAAAATTGGGCTCCAGACTGCACTTCTACTTAATAGACTGGGTTGAATTATAGTATTATGTTTCCGCAATAGTTATACTGGAGGGTTAATCTAGTAGTTTATTGTGTAAATTGGAAGAGCTTTTTCTATAGCCAGTCTAAGCTCCCTGAAATTTATTTTGGAAGGCCAAGTACAAATATAATTTAGCACATGTTCAGTTTCCTTATCTCTGTAACAGCATTTTAGTTTGTTTACAGACTTTTGAAATGTATTTGTTTTCCAGTTTCACTAACTGGGTCCTATGTGCTGCCATCTTGTCTAGATGAGAGTACAACTACATAGATGGGATTCCCACTATACAACAGAGAAAAACACTTAGGGCAGGTCTACACTACTGCTTCAATTGATCTAACTTATGTCACTCAGGTGTGTGAAGAAAAGACACACCCCTGACCGATGGAAGTTAGAGCGACCTAAGGAGACACTTTTCCACCTCTCATGAAGGTGGAGTAATTATGTCGATGGGAGAGCACTCTCCCATTGGCATAGAACGTCTCCACCAGATGCACTGCAGTGTTGCAGCTGTGCCAATGTAGTGCTTCTAGTGTAGACCTGCCCTAAGTCTGATGATTGTTCCAATAAGGTTGATAAGTCACTAGCATGCAAGAAGGTTCGACCTGAAGTTACATCCTGTTTTACTCCCCTTTTTACATGAAGGCCTTTTATGGCATGCTTATTTTTATCCTGTGCTGGGTGGATTGCACATGAATTTTAATTAGGCTTTAATTGGTTTTCCACCAATTCTATTGTGCAGCAATTTAAGGTTCATTCCTTGATGCTAGACTGAGTCAACAATTATTTTTAAATCTTCTCCCCTGGCTTTTTACATGTTTGTTATGAGGACACAGGATACCCAAAACACTGTTAAAAGCTCAGAGGGACAGAGGGCATGATCAACAACTTCATTCCTTTGGCACAGTGGAACTTGCAGCAATAAAAGTAAAGCTTGTCTGTGTGGAAGACAACCTTCTCTGGGGGTGGTCTGAGACCATGGAATGAACTCCACCAGGAAGTAAGCACTATCACAAACAGCACCACTATCTGCTCCAAGTGCAAGGCACATTTCTTTGACTGTGCCTTCTCTAACGCACACACCCCAACAGGTATATTTAACAAGACAATCCACTCGTTTCTCCCTCTGGGGAAGAAATGAGAGAACAAACAACAAATGACAGCTGTGTAGCCACATTGCTTAACATAGTATTGGAAGGTGCTCAAATACTACGGTGATAAATGCAGTATAAAAGCCTATATTGAACAGGACCCGTAAGATAAAGATATGATCAATTTCTCAGGAAGGAATCCAATTTGACTTTCACAGATTAAGGGTACCCAGAAGTCACCTACTACAGGACAGGCCCAACAAAGAAAATAACAGAACGCCACTAGCCATCACCTCAGCCCCCAACTAAGACCTCTCCAGCGCATCATCAAGGATCTACAACCTATCCTGAAGGACGATCCCTCATTCTCACAGACCTTGGGAGACAGGCCAGTCCTTGCTTACAGACAGCCTCCCAACCTGAAGCAAATACTCACCAGCAACCACACACCAAAAACACTAACCCAGAAACCAAACCCCGCTACAAACCCTGGTGCCAATTCTGTCCACATATCTATTCAAGGGACACCATCACAGGACCTAACCACATTAGCCACACCATCAGGGGCTGGTTCACCTGCACATCTACCAATGTGATATATGCCATCATGTGCCAGCAATGCCCCTCTGCCATGTACATTGGCCAAACCGGACAGTCTCTACGCAAAAGAATAAATGGAAACAAATCTGACATCAGGAATCATAACATTCAAAAACCAGTAGGAGAACACTTCAATCTCCCTGAACACTCAATAACAGACTTAAAAGTGGCAATTGTTCAACAGAAAAACTTCAAAACCAGACTCCAACAAGAAACTGCAGAACTGGAATTAATTTGCAAGCTGGACACCATCAAATTAGGCCTGAATAAAGACTGGGAGTGGATGGGTCACTACAAAAACTAATTTTCCCCCTGCTGATACTCACACCTTCTTGTCAACTGTTTGAAATGGGCCACCTTGATTACACTGAACTCATTAGCACTACAAGAGTGATTTTCCTCCCTTCTTGTCAACTGTTGACAATAGCCCACTTCCACCATTATTGATTTGGCTCGTTAGCACCAGGGGCGGCTCTATGTTTTTTGCCGCCCCAAGCACAGCAATTAGGTGGCCTTCGGTGGCACGCCTGTGGGCGGTCCGCGGTCATATGGATTCAGCGGCATGCCCGCGGGTGATCTGCTGGTCCCGTGGCTTCGGCGTACCCGCCACCGAATTGCTGCCGAAACCGCAGGACTGGCGGACCTCCCACAGGCACGCTGCCGAAGGCCGCCTGACTGCCACCCTCACAGCGACCGGCAGGCCGCCTCCCGCGGCTTGCCGCCCCAGGCATGCGCTTGCTGCGCTGGTGCCTGGAGCCGCCCCTGGTTAGCACTGACCCCCCACTTCGTAAGGCAACTCCCATCTTTTCATATGTTGTGTATTTATACCTGCCTCTGTATTTTCCACTCCATGCATCTGATGAAGTGGGTTTTAGCCCACGAAAGCTTATGCCCAAATAAATTTGTTAGT